TCTTTACATCAACTCTAACAAACAAATTCTCTGATAATTGTTAAACAAAAAATAACTTAAAATAGTAGGCAACAAGTACCTATTTCGCCTTCGGTATCAATCTGGGCATGCGCATACGCTCAATATTTTAACTACTTATTCTTTGCTCAAATGTGGAAGAGAAAGTTCTCATAAACTGGAGCCTACAACCTGCTTGTTTTTAGGATACGAAATATTTTAAAACTGACATTTTTTGGTAAGCATTTACATTTGCTAAACTTGTTGAATGAATTGAAACTTGGTATTGCATTATCTTCATGGGTGGGTAATACAGAAAGAATTATATTTGTTATTACAAATGAGGTACTTTTCTCCTACTTGGCTAGAACGCACAGCTTTCGAGAAAAATGTATTTGGAAATTTTATTTAATTCGAATCAAAAAAATCAAGAGAGATTGTTAAAATAAACTAGGAAGGTATACAAAACTAAAAGCACTGAACAATATATGTTGGGTCATATGTTTGCCTTTATTGGTAATAGGCGTTTATACTTTTCCGTTTTGTATAGTTCGTTTTTTATTTATTGTTGATTTGGAGAAATTATTAAAATTTCACTGCAACACTATGAAGTCTATAAGCATTTTACGTTTTCCTTTTTTCATTTTCAAAAATGTATTTGCAAAGAATATACATTTTTTTTTAAATTAGTATTAGAATACATTGTTTGCACTTCCTACTAGAAAATATCTAGTTAGATACCGATTAAGTGTACGCAAACTGTCACTGATATTTTGAAGTCTGACAGTTTTGATGGTGATGCAAATGTACTCGTGCTGTTTTGCAAAAATGTACCCGAAAACCAGTCGCTCATTCATTAAACATTCGCTCTATTAATGTCAATTAGACTCGCGATTAAAGTGACGTTTATCAAACTTGTATAGTATACTATCATATCGCAAATAAAACAGAAGCAAGGACAAACAATTCAATAATCTTTACCTACATTTGCATGTACTAAATTTCTGATTCTCTAGATGTAAATTAAAATAGAAAATCACAAAACTTTAAATAACTCATATCACGGAAACCTGTGTGGTGCTGTGAATCTTTTTTGATACCTAACGTTAGATGAAAAATTTACTCTTAAATTTTCCTACAGAAACCGTTATTTAGAAAACCTATTTGATCCAATTATTAAACCTAAATTTTTAATAACGGTACGATCATTGTATCCTTGTTCCTCAAAATGTTTTGACTTTCACCCATTCGTCTAATTATATAAATTATATAATAATAACACCACCCTCATACCCCATTTTAATTCAATATTTTTTCGCGAAAATTGTAGGCTGTAAAACAGGCAAATTGCCCACAACTAATTTTTCTCTAATCTGCGTGAAGTGAATGGTGCCGACAAAGGCAACGATGCACGACACATGCGGGGGGTTCTTCATAAACGCTTTTTTATAGAATTACTGCCTTTTTTTGTAAAATAGTAAATAGATTTTGAAAAAAAAAAGGATATTTAATTTTGTATGGTTTAATAATTAACGTGATGCGGCTTTCGTAAATCAAGCCACTTTTTTGTTATTCTAAAGTTAGCAGATAGGACTAAATAGTCCATTGCTTTTTGAAAAATTTGAATTTTTGAATATCTTTTGCAATTCAATATTGGGTTAATTAATGGACAAGGTGGTCAGTTGACTTTCTAGATTAAGTTTGCGATTCTTAAAAATAAGATTCCGTGTACAAATAGTATTTTCTTGACTACCACCACCTATCTCAATATGGTTGCTGTGCTCACCTCATTTTATATCTACGTATATCGTTCTGTTAAATAATAGACATCCATTACTAAAGTTTGTTACCGTTTGTTGACTAAAATTAAGTCAGAAGAAAAGTGAAATAAAAAACAATATTTTCATACCCCCGGGCATGGTTTGTACTATATCATATTTCCAAGTAAAAAAATTCATAATAACACTTTGACTTCCTTTTTCGCACTTTGAAAGTATAAAATATATAAACAAAAAATATAAAACAAAATTTAAAAATAATTTTTCGAAAATATTTCACTTGACCCCGAATGCTGTTTGATAAAGGGTAGTGGATTACAACCAATGCTTTTCGATACGTTATCAACCGCCATGTATTAACCCAGATATAGAAAAAAAGCAACGACGTCATCTTTATTCTCATAACTAGATAGTTGCAAATGAAATTGAAAATATCCGTCACGCTCACATCTTACACCTGGAGAATGATTTTTGGTCGATTAATAAAGCTGCCTGCTAATTGCGGCGGCCATTAACGACGCCCCGCGTCGACAAGGCCAAAGCGTCGTAAGGTAATTAAGGCGGATTAATTACAGGGGCTTATTATTCGGCAGCTACGCTGCGCTTTTATAAGCCTTCTCTTCGCGTCTTTTACAGCTCATTTGCATTTTAGAATCGTGGATCCATCTTGGTCTGGGTTTTGTTTTAAATGTCACTCCCGCTTTAGAGAGATTACATTCAGCCACCCTCCTCCAAGACATGGGGAGATGCACGGCATCTTCAGGCGAAAATATTTTAGAAACTTTGACGAGGGCACGGTTTCACGAAATAAATGGAAGGAGAGTTTTTAGTTTCGCCTTAAAAAAAGGCGGATCGACAATTCTAAAAGTTTCGTTCGACAAGGAATGCGAATACATAAACATTTTGACGGTCGACGAGAAATATATTTAAAAAAATGGTAATGCGCAATAGGAACACAATGTTTTTCCATTTATCTACAAGGTGAATTAAAAATAACCAGGCATCTTAAATATTTAAGTTTCAGTCAAGCTCTGAAGATGATTGGCGGAACGTCGAAAACAGCGAAAAGTTTTGTAAAAAGCATTACAGTAGCCTGTGGAAGTTTCTTTGAAAAATTACCTTAAATATTGCCATAATTTAGTTGCTTGCTGCAGTCAGGATTCTGCACCAACTATATGAAGGCCAAAAATAGTGAGCATTTTCTAATGAATATATTACTAAATTCATTTTTCTTCATTAAAAATTGTGGATATTTTAAATCTAACCCAATAAGAAGTTTATATTAAACTTTATACTTCATATACAGTTAGCATTAACAGTTTTTCACCAATTTTGTATAATGCTTAAACAAATTGATTTTTTATATCACCCTGTATATCTCACAAAATTAACATGGTGACAGATTGGTGAGCGAGAATGCAAAAGCAAAATTCTTAATTAATTTTAAGATGTCACTGTTTTTGACAACTTTTCTTAAACCTAAACCGGATCAAGATCTATCGTTTGGAAAGAACAAGAAAACAGTCAGTATCAGTGAATGTATTCATATTGATTTGCAAAAATGTACCCAAAAACTGACGGTCTTGGAAAAAGTACAGTATGCAACTCGTTTGGTAAATTTTTGAAGTCACTCGTTTAAACTTGTGACTCAAATGCCGTTTACCACACTTCTGCATAATTATTCTCAATCGGTATCAATTTCGAAATGCGCATAAGTTTATTGCAATACTCCGAGATGGCGGTGTTTTACTGCTCGTCTTGTTTTCACCATATAGCTATTAGATAATATAGTGGGCCACTACGTTAAAAATTGAAGAGCCGCAGGCGCCTTTGATATTTTCGTAGAGAAGAAAATGATTTTCCGCGCATGCCTCTACATTTCACCCACTGATCTGCACTTTGCGCCAATAGGAAACAGATTTCCAACTCATTTGCCCACAACATTTAACGAGATCTTATTCGCGATCACTCAGCGAGCATGTTGCGCATGCGAATTTTTAATGGACCTTTTCAAATTTTTGTTTCGTAGTTGCTTCTTAAATTTCTGTACTCTCTGCATAGACACGGACACTTTATCTTTAATAGCCAAATTGTCACGTTACCAAGAAAAAATAATATTAAACTCGACTTCTTCACTGGCACCTTAAAACTGATTTAAAATTATTATATTTCAATATATATTTATTTAAACTATATAATAATATACTATATATATATATATATATATATATATATATATATATATATATATATATATATATATATATATATATATATATATATATATATATATATATATATATATATATATATATATATATATATATATATATATATATATATATATATATATATATATATATATATATATATATATATATATATATATATATATATATATATATATATATATATATATATATATATAATTTTTTATATTTTAAATACGTAATCAAAGGTGATTTAATTGTATTTTTTAGACAGATTTAAATTAACCAAAAGTCATAACTGTCCCGAAAGCTATGTAATTTGGCCAAGTTTGGGTAATGTCCACAAAATGGCAGTCTATTTGTTTATTTTTTCTTATTCCATAATAATCCTATTGAGGATCTGTCATCAGCGGCCATGCTGGTTGTTGAATTCCGCAAGGTGATTGGTTAGAAACGATACATATAATCTTGTTTTCATTGTTGCTTCATAGATTTCTGTATTATCAATATTAGGAAGGGCTTCTATATCTCTAGTAGCTATGTAATAATGACCATAAAAGGTTTTTCCTTCTTGTTACTAATTAGTTGAAATCGGCGCAGTTTATGAACAAAATATAACCCAAGTCAAAGCAACAACACATATAAACGTTAAAGTTGGTTCGTTTTCTGCAATAACCATGTACAATGTACGCGAAGAATATTGTAAAAGAAGATGTACCATGTACCAGATAAATAGCCGAATAATAAATAACGTGAAATGTTTGAGCTGGATCAGGGTACGAAAAAATAGCCTTTCGAGCAGAGTGCGTTCCAAATTCACTAATTAGATTATACGATGTCAGTAAAATAGCATCCTGTATATAACATTATTTCCAAATGCCCTGTAAAATTCAACATCCTTAAATTCAACCGCTTGCGAAATGATGCGAGAGATTATCATAACTTGTTCTTTTCTAGGCTTGGCTCTGGTCCAATGCAATTTATTATACGGTTAAAATTATTAAAAAGAAGACAACTAGAGTATAAATATTTATGCTGTGGCTTAACTGGAGTGTGATACTTTTCCATGCATAGGTTTTCAAAATGGCGGCTACTTCGAGGTATATTTGTATTTTGTTAAATAAATAAGCCTGTATTTAATTATATTTGTTTCAGGTATGATGCCAATAAGGTGTGCTGTAGTTCTCACCCGGATGCTCCATTAATTGAAGATTACAGAGCTGGAGACCAAATTTGTTCAGAGTGTGGATTGGTTGTAGGGGATCGGTATTAAATAATATTTTTTGCAACAATCAGATCTTCTTTTTGTTATTTTAGAGTAATTGATGTTGGCTCAGAATGGAGAACTTTCAGTAATGAAAAGAGTGGTGTGGATCCTTCTCGTGTTGGTGGACCAGAAAATCCTTTACTTGGTGGATCAGACTTGACCACTATGATAGGACCAGGAAGAGGTATGAGCCTATGCCAGTATCAGATTCGAAATATTTTTTCTTTATATAAGAAGATGCAGTAGTTATGTAGACATTGTTTTTGGAATTTAATTTTTTCCAAAAATTCTGTGTATATCGTATGTTATTTTTAGGTGATGCAAGTTTTGATTCATTCGGGGTTGCAAGATACCAAAATCGGCGGACTATGAATAGTTCGGATCGTGCTCTAATAAATGCGTTCAAGGAGATTAATGCTATGGCAGATCGAATTAATTTGCCTAGGACTATTGTTGACAGAGCTAATAATTTATTTAAACAAGTTCATGATGGACGTAACCTGAAAGGTAACACAAACACATTAATTTTATATTGCAAACATATGACTTTTGTGTTTTATGGATTAATAGACAAATCTCAGTGAGTCAGTGTTTATTTTAATTGATAGACAACATTGTCAATTTTGAAATTATTGTTGGCCACTTTGACATAATACTTGTTATTTATCATAGGACGCTCAAATGATGCCATTGCATCAGCTTGTTTGTATATTGCATGTCGTCAGGAAGGTGTACCGAGAACATTCAAGGAAATCTGCGCTGTTAGTAAAATAAGTAAGAGAGAAATTGGACGGTGCTTTAAGCTAATTCTAAAAGCACTCGAAACATCGGTGGATCTTATAACAACAGGAGACTTCATGTCCAGATTCTGTTCCAATTTGGGCTTGCCTAACATGGTTCAAAGGGCTGCCACACATATAGCAAGAAAAGCTGTAGAATTGGACATTGTTCCAGGTCGTTCTCCCATATCAGTGGCTGCTGCAGCAATTTACATGGCTTCACAGGTAAAATAAACCATAATTTGTAATTTACCTGTCATATTTCTTATTCTTAGCGATGCATTTGATATATTATCTGTTATATCAGCAATAACAGCAAATTGAAAAATTTTGTGAAACACAATATTACTCTTTTTTTATAAAAAATATAGACAAGTAATGGTGTAAGTTCATTTTCATGGATGTCAAAAAGTGTCAAACAAAAATTCCTCAAATAAGGTTTAGCTTTAAAAAGCATATATTTTTCGGTATATTGATGAATTTCAGAGAAAAATCCCTTTCTAATTATTATTCTTATCTGACCACACAGTGTATATTAACAATAAATAACAAGAAATATGTTCCTTCAGGCCTCTGAAGACAAGAGAAGTCAAAAGGAAATTGGAGATATAGCTGGAGTTGCTGATGTTACTATAAGACAGTCATACAAATTGATGTACCCACACGCTGCAAATCTATTCCCACAAGATTTTAAGTTTGCCACTCCAATTGATCAGTTGCCTCAGATGTAATCAATTATGTTATGTATTTTTTGCCTTTACTATGAATTATATTTTAGAATTTTATATGTTTTTAGGAATATATTATAACTTAATAAAGGATATTTTTGTTAAATTTCTTAATTTATTTTATTTACCTTATCTATTTATAACAATTAGGTAAGTAATTTGAAAAACTGGAGTGTGTTATGGTCAGTTTTGCAACATTTTTTCTACTCAAGGGCAATTCAAAATTACTTGGTGTAAAATATGTTTTTTTACATTATGTACATTTATGTATAAGAAAAAAGTTCAGCTATAAACAAAAAAAAACATATTGAAAAACCTAAATAATATACTTTCGTGATTTTTTAAAAATTTGGTAAACCTTAAATCACAGTAAATTAATTGGTTTCTTTTTTTTTTTAATCTATTTTCCATGTTGTGCATTCCTATCTTGGAAGCACTATATATACCAAAATAAGTTTGCAAGTGATTATGGTAAAAAAATTGGCATTTCAGCATATCACAAGGTGTTTTAATGAAGAAGTTGTCAGCATTTGGTTATTTTTTAATAAATTCCCTTTACCTAATAATCAAGAATATATGGTATAAGAAATCCCTTTTATCTTAAAACACCATTTTTAAATATATGCTTGATCAAACCCATTTTACCTCTCATATTTCGTATTCTTAGTGATGCATTCCATATTATATTATCTGTTGTTATATCAATAATAACAGAAAAATGCAAAATTTTGTGAAAATTCACATACACTCTTTTTATTTTGCACAGCAGAAGTGTATGCCAAACTTACATTCATTGCTTTAAATAAAAATATGTCAATCTGCAGATCTTGATGACATTCCATATATTATTTTATTCACTTCTTCAACTACTTCTGTATCAATATCTAAATCAGAACCATCCTCAGAATTATCTGACATGCACTCAGGCAACTTTCTGACAACTTCATCAGCATCAACTTCAATAATCTTCTCTGAAAATAGAATAGATTTGTATATATTCATTAGTCAGAATAATTTCAGTTACCATCGTCCAAATTAATTGTCTTGGAAGATTCTGCCAATAGATGAACATTTGCTCTCTGATACGCGCCTCTCTTAATGCTTGACAACATTCTACTACTATAACTCAGAATATTTTCTGAATCAGACGTTTGCGGTTCATCAAAAACTTTCTCCTTGATTCTAGCTTCTTTCAGTAGCTCTTCTTGAACTGCATCAATCACATACTTATTAGCAATTTCACGGCATTGCTCGGTAAAACTAAGCGGCAGCCATCCATTTTTGACATCATATTGAACATTTTGTAAAGATTTGGGTAATTTCGATAACATATCTTGGACCTCTGGTATTAAAATATCGCAGTACTGAAAATCATAGGGCAATTGGGAATTCTTATCTTTAAATAATTTAACAAATTTTTTACCTGATAAAATACCTGTCTTGCTGGAGGTATATCATTTGGTCTTAGAATATATGAACGTTCCAGGGAAGTATTGAAGTCATATGAATTGAAAGAACCGATTGAAGAGTGTGCAGAGCTTCTTTTAGGTGGAATCTTGACTTTAGTACCTTCTATAATGTGTACGTCAAATAACCATTAAGAAATACGTTTAAGTTCATTAAATTAATTAATTAAAATTCAAATGTCAAAAATGTGTAAATGTGAAAATCACCGGAATAAAAAATCTTTTTACCTGGATATACACATTTTGAGGATCACTGCTTGGAGCGGAGAAAATGCAAAATGCAATTTTTCCAATAATAAAGAATTTATTGAATTTTATTGCAAAACAAAGACTGTCGGGCTCTTTTCGACACCGCACGTGTTGATTACACATTGCAAAGGGGCTGACCAACCAGGTAATTTACTGCCTTTTTATACATTAACTATTACTTATAAATTAACTGTTGCTTTTTGTATTTTACATATTCATGCAGATAAAATATTTATTGGATGGATAGGCATGTCAAATCAGTAAAACACCAGCTCACAGGGTGAAAATTGCAAGGACTTAACTTTTTTTTATTAACGTAACATTGATAGTAAATATTATATTTATAAAAACAAATTATTCTTTTGTACCTGTAGCACTCACGAAATTGGAAGCTACCTCTGGTTCTTTGACAGATTCTGTTGGGGCTAAGGTTATAAAGTTATGCCAGTAATTGACAATAATTGAAAATCCTAAAAAATATTTCAGAATTTTCATAAGCAATTTCGCTAAATTTGAAAGAGAACTGGATTTGTATAAATTAGAAACACATTTAATTCCAAAATTAAAATACTGTCCGATAACTTCGATAGATGCTGGGCGAAGTTTTTCCATTTTTAAAAATATGTTTACAGATAAAAAACCCAATTTTTATTTGGGAAATTAAAAAAAAAAGTTATCAATTGTTTAAACAACTGCAAAGAATAGTTTGTTAATTTACCACTTGTTTGTTGTGTAAGTTGCTATTATTTAAATGTACTGTTGAATTATTAACAAGTATAATTGTTTATAATCGCAAATAATATTTTGTCACTGTGAGATTATAGATTATACGTTTTGCAAATTGCTATGTAAGTATCCATGTGTGCATCTACGAATAAAAAACTTTAATGATTTTTTTTGTTTCATTTATATTTATTCAAATAGGTAAAAAATTATGGGATTTCAAAAGAACGGGTTTAATTATAAAGAAATAAATCCCGTTTTATAAATTAAAAATGCTTATTTGCATATTTCGTATTTTGAAAATTTTATGGATTATTGGGGTTTTGGGCTAGCATTTTTTCCGCTCCTTAATGATAACCTATAAGGTCGCCTTTGTTAAAAAACGACCTAACTCCAATTTTATTGCTTTTTTTGAAAGAAAAAAACTCATTTTTAAACTACAAAAATAACATTTACAGGTCACACACAATATACCTGTTTTTCTATTGCCAGGCAACATTAAAACCAGTTTTTGTTCACCTGCTGTAAAATATACACTTGCACATTGCAAAATTACAAAAATACACTATTTTAATCCTATTGAGGTAGTGTTATTGTTTTTATCTTTATTGCAAAAATTGTAAAAATAGCACTTTAAATACTTAATATTTCTAGCAGCTTTAATCTAGCAAGTCCTGATACAAAGATTTGAAAGTAAAACATTTTCTTACCACTGGTTCTAATTCTGAAATCTAGTGTTTGATATATTCGAGAACTTAAATCCTCTAATGGATTATAACCATATTTAATCCAGCAAGCCATCCAAGGACCATTAAGACAATAATATGCTACAGATGGCAGAACTGTCTTGATATGATCATGTGCCACACCAGTTTTGTGAGTAACAGCTACCTTTCTCCACACTGGTCTTTCATTGAATAGCTGAATTGTAAATGCAAAGTTGAATACATTCAAACAATGATAAGCAAATTACCGATTTCACCAAACAGTATTGTTTCTGCAAAGTCCTTTCTTGTATCTGTTCCATAACATCTATAGGTGGCTGGTCCGGTATTTTGATATTTGATTTGAAAAAATTTACCCTTATCGCTCTTCCAGTTTCTTTTGATTTATGAGATGTATTTCTTTTATTATTTGCATTTGGTATAACCCTTTCTGGCCGAACTAAGGAATTAAACAATTTGACAGAATTTGAGGCAAATTTCACTTGTGGAAGGTCATATTTTGAAAAGCTGGGTGGTATAAAGAAGGCTGGAATGTTTCCACCTTCTTTCCTGAAATTACTTGCAATTAATTTCAAGTAAGAAACTTGCACATTAAACTCACAAAAACCATTTAAGATTAGGAATTTTTTCAGAAATGAGATTGTTGTAAAAGTTTTCAATTTCTGAATCTTGTTTTTCTGGATCCTCTTTACTTACCAAAGGAAGATACTGATAGTCAATCATTCCTAAAAAATATAGTAAGCTTTTATGAAAGTGAATTTGATTTAAACTGGCAAAAACTAGTGAAGACAGGATGGCCTAAGTCAAGATCAACAATGTAGTGAGAACACATTTACAAAGAAAGTTGTTGTACTGCTCAATGTATTTCATAACTATTTAAAATGCTTTATAAGTGGAGTATTCTTCCTTCCATGGCATCAAAGTGCCTACAAGAAAATTTCACAGGTGCTTAAATAATGCAAGTTTAAAAAATATGATCATAGCAATTTATTAACTATAAATAGTAGCCCACAAATGCAAAGAATCAAATGGTTTTCTAAATATGGTCCATTCCTTTCGTGCTAACTACACAACAGGGTGATAAATGTTCTGGATGTTGACTTACTATTAAATTTAAAGTTTATTTTTGAAGTCCCTACCACTTCATAATCATATGACACCTGTCTATTGCGAGACGGAAAAACTTTAATCAATATACCAACATTTGAATCCCGGTCAGCAATGCATCCTTTGTTAAAGAAGTTTTTAGGGTGAAATTTTAGTTCCAATTTATGTTTGCTTTCCGCTATTGCCTATAAATCAAATTAAAAATGCGACAAATGTAGCCTTAACTAATTTCAATAATTTATTAGCATTTTGTACTTACGTTTTCAATTTTGTGCAATCCACCAAGTGTTTCGACTGCATTATCAAGATTTTTCACCCATCCCGGATATTCTACTCTAATAAGGGTAGATTTTGAAAAATCGTATACATCTTTTTCATTTGAATCAATAGTTTGGTTTTCACTTGATTCTTTGCAGCTTTCCATTAGCACATCAGTTATAAACCACTCACATATTTCAGCTACTAGCTAAAACTATAGTATTCTCTATGGTTACTGGCAGATATATAGGACAGAGTGATAGCTTTTTTTTAAATAAAAATTACATAATTTAAGGTTGTCTACGGTTTCTTCTTTTTTTTTTTTGCTCGTTACTATGCGGCCAACTTCTTTTTAAGGCTGACCTTAGTGGTTAACCGCGGGAATTATTTCAAAGTTTTTGTCCAAAATATTTTTCTTGGAATCAGTTATTTCTTAAGCAGTTAATTTATGATCTCCTAAACTAACTAACTAGACGTATTGCAGTTCAATGAACTTGCGCGCAATATCTGTATGTTACGTGCAATTAAAAATAAATAATACCGATCAGTGATTTGTTTAAAATTTTGATATTAAACTAACTTATTGAAAAGTAACGCATATTTTTGGTCCGTAATAAGATCCGCAGTTCGCATGCGTATTAGGTTATCCTTTCTGAGATTTGACGTGTTTGCCTTTGTTAGCCTATGTTAACTGTCTGCTCTATTTCTTGCACATTGTACCTTTCAGTTTCGGCCGATCAGTATCTTACGAAGTATGCTAAAGGTCAAAACCCTTATTTAAATTTTAAAATGTTGGGCGATGACATTTATATGAAAAAAGTTTTCAATGGAAACTTTCCCCAAGAAAAAGTGAGAAAAATGAGCCGAAAAAGTTTGGAAAATTTGGTGTTAAAACTTGTGATGGCCTGCAGTCCTGATGGCGCGAAAAATGCAAAAACTTTTGAGGGTCTATATAAAGGGCTGTGTTCCAAGGAGATACGTAGACCATTGTGGTGGCCTCGAGAAAGGTTAACTCAACAAAAATTATTTGGACAAAAACAGTATTTCATGGCCAGCATGCGGTATTTAGTACTCAAGTGTAGCGAATTTTTCAAAAAACAAAACAGGACTCTTCTGCAACAGTTGTATAAAAATGACGAAAATTGTGTAAAAAGTGGAGTGAAAAGGGCTTTAGATGGTTGGGATTATAGTATTGTGAAATTCAAGCGGAGAACATTGGTGCCAAAGAATTCTTCATGCTTGACAGTAAATGATTGTAGCGACACTTTGATTTTCAAAAGGATTTTAATACCGTTAGAGGATATTCTCAGAGTATCAAAACCTAAAACATGGAGCCAAAATGATTTTTTAGGTATTTTTGGTTTACAAAATGTTTCTCAATATATCAAAGAGAAACAAGTGGCGTATTTACCCTATCCGCATCCAGTTAAATTTTGTAACTCTTCAACCATACCATTTTCTTCAGATTTGGGTAAAAAATTAATGAAAAGAGATAATCATCACTTTTCTGAATCATCCTGCAATCAGAAGTTGGAAAAACTTGAATGGTACATTAATAAAAGATCTGAGAAAACAAATTTGACCCATGTTGACTATGAGGTGACTTATCAGCAAAAAAAGGGATATCTGGAGAGACCTTACAAGTTTCCAAGAAGACAACATTCAGGCAATATAGAATTACATAAAATTTTGGAGATAGTTGTTCATAAAGAGGACTTGCTTACTTTGAAACAAAAAATTGATGCTCAGAAATCAAAGCTTAAAATCAAGTTACAAAGATTGCCAGTTGCAAATCATAAAAGAAAATATCCAGTAAGGTATTGTAATATTGGTAAGTGAAATAGTTTGGCAAAAATATCTGTACCTACCTGAAAAATTGTATGTGATTATTTAGTTTGCATTTTGTTCAAGCTACATAGCTTAAAGTTCTGTTGGCTTATATATTTGCACCAAAATATAAGAGTGTTCTGCAAATACATTGCTAGAGAAAACCCACTTTATCTGCTGCAATGGAGCCATTTTAAACCATTTGTAAACCATTTGGTCTTAATAATTAATAAAACATTTTGAAGCAAGTCAAGGAATTTCATTTGTTTAGCATATAGGCTAGTAGCTGGGCTTAGGATTCTCTCACAAACCAATTTTTTTAGCCATTTGTGATGTTTAAAATTCAATTTTTTATCTAGTTAACTCTTCCGTCGGTTCTCTTGTTAAATTGTTTTTAAAAATTTTGAAGTTTTATCTGCAAATTGTTTGATAATTGAGTAGTGATTAGGGCAGCAGCAATATTGACATCCTTGTGGGCAGTTTTTCTGGCATTATTATGGCATTAGAAAAAACGTGACAGACATTGTAATTTATGGCATTAGTGGTTGAAAATTAGGCAGTGTGGGTTTACAAAAGGAAGATTAAATACAAAGTATTTTTGTTTTTAAAGCAACTTTTATATTATATATGTTGTTCATATACAGAGTGCTCAGTTTTTCACACACAGAGGCCATCTTTTAAAAATTTAATAGAACATCTTTTATTTTAGATGGGTATGGATTCCTTATATAAAATAAAGGTGAATATAATCTAAGCAGTTACATATTTTGTCTGTCATTTTTATTTTAGAAAATACCATAATAAACAAAAAAATTTAAATTTTTACAAGTTTTATAAGATCTTATATTATGTTCCATCTGTATTAGACCACGAGAGATACACGATATGTTATATATCTATAAAGAGTATGGTCCCAGCGGGAAACAGAACAATAATCATGGAAAAAGCTTTGAAAGTGCAAATTAAATTATCAAAATTTATCCCCCAGAATAATTGTCACAACACAGTTTTTGGTGGTTATGACAACTAAATACGTTTTTAGGATCACACTTTATATATCTAGTTTCAATTATTTAAAAAGGGTACTAAAAGGAATGACTATTTTAATTAACATTCCAGTTTAATATCAAAAATAGTGTTGGAAAAACATGGCTAACACAAACTAACTAAAAGATTTGTACATTGTTTTTAAATTAAGAAATCTTTTGTTGACGTTATCAAAATATTTTTTCCTAACCAAACTGCTTTATCCTACTTGCATTTGCTTCGCTGCTTTTGGCTGTAAGACGGATAACCAAAGCAATGCCTTATTGTTATAATGCGGTCGGCAATGGCCCAACAAACCTGCCCATTTATATCTTTTGTTCTCAAATTAAAAATTCAACAAATTTGAAAGTTAAGAATTAGTTTTTAATGCTCGTATTGTTTACAGAACTTGTGGACCAAAGTACCATAAATAAATTATCACGAACTTATTTTTGTTTAAAAATATTCATATAGCATACATTGTTTAGCACAAATGTGCATAATGGAAATGGAAATAATTTGTTGTTGAGATTTGATTTAAAATAGTATTTTTAGTTTTATGACTGACATATATGTTAAGGTTATTGTACATTAAATATCGTATGTTATATGTGATATAATGTAAGTACCATTGTACCTATGACGCGTAGATCCACAGAATGTTTGTATTTTGTATGTTAATGTACATATTCATGGGACAAAATGTTAGATTAGGACTATGACCAAATTTAGTTTGTCATCAGTTTTTATATTTCTTTGGAATTGATGGTACCTTCTGTATCCTAATATCCTAATATGCAAGACAAGTTTAATTTTTTCGTACTTTAACCGCAAATTCAAAAATGTCTGTAGAGTTGTGTTTTAGGTTTGTTTGTTACAATAACACTTGATAGATCTAAAAAACTTCAAAGCGAACGCAAAAATGTATACATGTGTTAATGAATAATATTTTCAGAAAGAAATTCATGCCATCTTAGAATGAAAATTGGGCCATATTTCTGCTAAAAGGCGAGCTTTTTTTTATTACTTGATATAATTAATTGAATTAATTTGAAATTTAACTTGGTTTGTGCAAATGAAATTCTTTTTTGCTTCTGTGGAATGTTGCTCAAAAATAATAAGATATGACACGGACGTTATTTTATTATTTTTGAAACATAATATATTAAAGACTTTAATGTGAAACTGGCCATATGAAACCTTTGTAAAATATTTTGCTAGGTTTGTTTTTATCGGCATAGTGTTTCTTGTTTTCAACAAGAAATGTTTTCATATTATTATAAATATATAAATTATTTTGTATATTACCTGCTATATTGAGTATTTATGGACATATATTTAAATAAAGATTTTTTTTAAAATAGTTTGTGAATTTCCTTACTTTTATATAAAATGGTTTATTGAAAGTGCCGTTTCGCAATTATTGACATTCCAACTTAACTTTTTACTACCATGCTCTTATTATATGATCGATCGATCACTTTTTTTGGAAATTTTTTCAAATTAAAATGTCCGAAGTTTTCTTCATTGGCTTGTAAATAATGGAAATATATTATTTAATTGTTTTTTCGGGGCTTTCCAGCAAAACCTGGAAAAGTTGGGGAAATTAGAGGTTGATACTTTTTTAAATTTTAAATAATAGAGAGATTTACAGAATTGAAGAATTTTTCAGAATAGTGATAAAACCTCATTCGTTTTGGTTAATTGCAAAGTGACTACGGAGTGATTCAATGAATACTTAGCTACTTTCATGGTTTTAATTGATTTTGGTCGAGTACTGGTACTATGTGCATAGTACTATCTGGATTTGGGTCAAAAATGGTAACAAAGCCTATTTGTTAGTACTGGGTTAACCATAGTGATCAAAAATAATTTTAATGCTCCTAGGTAAACTAGGCCTATGTCCGACAACGAAATCCAGCGGAACCGACCGGAAGTTCCCATTATATTACTATAAAGTTTCTAAAATAGGTAGCACCAAATAGTCACATCTCAATGCCCCAAATTTTTATTTTACATTTTTTTTTGGCAAAATGCGTTTAGAATGCGGTAAAATACTTTTTCTAAACTTATATATTTTTTTTACCTTTGAAACACTTAATATACATTTATCATCTACAAATCCTCATGCCAAGTATTGATGGTTGACACTTCCGGTAGGAAAATCAAAAATTTTCAAGTCATATCCCTTCAGTCCCTTAGCGCCTATACTCGTAATGTCGGATACCGCTTTAACCCCATTGAAATCAACAATACTGAATATTTCACTAAGAGCATGTTGTGTGTGTATACAGGTTGGCAAATTTCAAAAAATATATGCGTTGATAAAAAAAAGGACGGCGCTGACCCGATGGGGATATAACAATCTGGAGCGACTGATCGTTCACGATTAAGGTGACGTATTTGTTTGAAAAATGCTATTCAAAATTAAATTGAACAAAAATAAAATAGGATAAAGAGTAAAGTAAGAGTAAAAGTAAAACATGGTCAAATCTCCAATTCTTTACAGTGAAAAACATATTTTACTAATAATTTTTTATATAATAGTATAACTTAATACTGTAGTGCGAGGTGTAAATTAATGGATTACAAAATTGTTTAAACTATTTTTCGAACTGGACAGACTTCATAATATTTTTATTTTATTTGAGCTTCTATGACTATGTTTCATATTCGATAACAAACCAAATTCGGATATTGCTTATCTGACAGACTCTGAATTTTCATTAATACAATGGTACCAGTGGCATTTTGATGCTGCTTCCTTCTGTTTACTCTTCTTAATAGAGCACAAATCTATGTGAGCGCATTTACTTGAATTTGATGGGTAAAGGACCTCCAGTTGTTTGTAAACCTAAAACAGTAATTTTTTAATTAATTTAATTTTTATTGTTAATTTAATTTCAATATTTTGACATTTAGCATTCAGATTTTGAAATTGAGAAATTAATTATTAAATTCTATCGAAATTCTTCGCAATCTTTACCAATGCTATTATGTGTGTAATCTAAATAGTTTTCTTTTGACTTGGCTTTGTTCAAACAGCAAACTTCTATCGAAAGGACTTTTTACTTTACAACTACATCTAAAAAATTGACCTCGGTTATTTTAAGATTGACATCGCGAAATTGGTTAAAACTATATAATTATTACTTTTCATTTTTAGCATTTGTTTAAGTCCTTTATCAATAACCTGTCTTGCTTACTTTAATTAGATTATCATTGATTTGAAATGACCATATATCGTTTCTCTACAAATTTACTTTTGTATAAGATATCACCTGTCTCATACGTTCCAAGTTAATTTTACTAGCAGTCACGTGATCAATCATCGGTAACGGGTAGTCTCGACCAATAACGCATTTGGCCGTTTGTTGAGTACTTTCTGGAGCTATCCAAGGTTCGTGGATATATTCGACCGGGATGCTCTTTAACACCGGCAAATATTTTCTACAAGCAAGTTAGATCTACGTATTACCGATAATACTAATACATTAAGATGGTTCACCTAATATAATCCCCATTTGGGTCGGCCTTTCGTCCAAACTTTATCGGACAATAGCAGTGTAAAAATTGTTGGAAAAAACTTGAACATGACAACCACATCCACATTCCCGCGTTGACCGACCAGTCCGCATCCAATAGTAGTTCTTCAAAAACCTGAAATTTTTTGTATTCCACAATGTGTTACAATTTCTTTTAAATACATACGTTTACTTTTTTCAGTATAAATTGAAACAGTTCAAAAATCTTGTTGTGCCTAACTAATTTACTAACAAATGCAGTGAAACCATAGGCGAAACAGAAATAATCAAATGATATAAAAAATAGGCGTTACATAAATTATTAGTAATGTGTATAGTAAATAGTAATATATAGTTAGTGACTTCTTTAATAAATTTAAATTAAATTTTCAGATCCGTTAAGTTTCATGCTGGCTTGTTTAATTTTACCGTCGTGTTTGACAAACAATACCTTCATTCCTTCCTCCCACGATATCCACAGGTCGCCGCGTGTCAGAAAGCATGCAACTGCATGTCGAGCGATATGATGAATCCAACCTTCTTTCCTTAACTGTGTCATAATTGCGTCGATCCAGGGAAATCCCGTTTGTCCCTAGTAGTTGAAAGCCGATTAATTAGCAAGCAGTTTTGTGGCTTGGCAAAGCAGCTATCATTCTCCCGGAAACTTACATTCGCCCATTTTGATAGAGCCTCCGCGTTTTTGTCCCAAGGAATTTGGACACATATTGGATTTCCCAGCATTTTATCGAAGTTTGGATTTTTCGTTGCCGAGCAGTAAAAAAATTCTCTCCAGAGGAGTTGTCCGTAGAGCGAAAGAGGGGGAAATGCCTACAAGCACAAGTAAATGAGTGTATTCTTATGATTAAATTGCAAAAATGGAATAAATGAAATTCAGGGTGCTTCTACTTTTCTAGATCAGCGGATGTACGAACCTTTTTCATTTTCTTGTAGAGCTCTGTTAATTCGTAATAAAACAATCTAGCAGATAGACAGCCAAATCTCAAATAAGGCGACAGTCCAGTTTGAGAAGGTAGTAGAGACTGTGGGGTCATTTTGGGCCTTCCGAACGAAGCAATCCAAGCTTTCCTTTCCAGATGTCGTTCCAGTCGCGCCAGGGCTTCAGATTCTCCACCCTGGCCAAATATAATACAAGATGGTTTACAATTTAGGATTAACGAGGATAAAAATGTTGTTCACTATAAACACAAATTCAAAACTCTCGAAATCTTGAATTCGCAGAAGCTATTTGCTTAATGCAATAAAACTTAACATACATAATTTTGTGGGGATTGAATAGCGGCTAAAAACAAAAAGCTTTACCATTAGACATCACCTACTAAGGATTGAAAAAATATAATAGTTTTGTAGTTTAGGTAGAAGCGATTCAATTTTTAGTGTATTTCTGAAATAAATTTGACACAAAAAATATGTAGCTATTTTTATTATAAAAGAATTTAATTTAATTTAAAAAATAAAAGTTTTATAAACTACACTTTAGGGAGGAGTTTGTATAGGTAGGAGCAGAGCGACCATGTAATAAGCCAATGTCTGAAAACGTTTATAAACGGATTGGACACTATATTTTTTCAACTGCTGTTACGAAAAAACAAAACAATTTAATAAGTGAAGTGTCAATGCTATCGGTATATTTTAAGTACTGATAGTATTTTGACTTTTGTCGGTTCTGACCAAACGTCATTCAGTGAATGTACTTATGCTATTTTGCAAAAATGCACCCAAAAGCAAATGATTCCAGAAAAAGCATAGTACGTATGCGTTAATAAACTTCTTCAGAAACTCGTTTCCTCAACACTCGTATCAATGCGGTTCGCTCGTACCAAAACATGCACGTTGCTTAGTATTCTATATCGAAGTTTGTGGATATGTTAATTATTTTATCTTTTTGTTATTTTTTATGTAATTAATTTGTAACTGTTCAAAAGCATTTCATAAAATTTCGATTATTAACCAATACAATTTGTTACTGATAAATTTACTTATACTAATGGCTACTCAAGTAGCACAGTAACATAATAGCAGAAATAACTATTGGCAGTTAGGTAATATATATATATATATATATATATATATATATATATATATATATATATATATATATATATATATATATATATATATATATATATATATATATATATATATATATATATATATATATCTGAGATGACTAGGCAGATAGACCTCATCGTGGTCGTCTAGCTGCAGAATATTCCATGTGTCGTATCTATTCTTTCCTTTTGCCAAAAACTTTTTAGTTTTGATAGTTTGTTGCTCTTGTAACAACTGGAAAGAGCTTGGTATGATCACAGGAAACGAAAAAACTAATAATAGATTAAATACCTGCCAGACAGATGGATTAAGGTTTTGCGTGTCAAATCCGAGTTCCTCCAATGTCGGAACTCCATATTTTTCATCGTGGTCATCCGATATCGGTGTAAAGGACCCGTTGACCGTTTTCGCGCATATAGTTGCTTCTGGTTTCGCAGGGGCGTCAATTCCGGTGATTAAGGTTAAAAACTGATGATACGTCAAAGGAGCTTTGCCACCGTTCCTGGCAAAAATTCATTTCGATGACGAACCAAATACCAAACATATCTAAGTAACTAAAACTAGGTTTGTGAAACCAATGTTTCTGCGACATATTTGAAAGTAACAGACAAAAGCAAAAAAAAATAACCTGATGATGGTGACATCAATTTCAAAAGAAATTTAGCTAGAGCCGACCATTTTATTGTGCTCAATAAAAATAAGTTATCTTTTCCCAGGAAATCAAAAAAGTTAGTGCAAAGCAGACCAAACCCTGAAAATATTTATTTAATTAACTTACTTTAATTAACTAAAATTGCTATCGATACGTATTATATGAGGTATTTAAAACGCTATTAAAATATTCAGATTCGGAATTTCATTGCTTAATGTTTTATATACATACCGGTCAATGATTACCTCCAAATTGTACAGTGTGTGGGAAACTTTCTGGATGACATTAATATTAAGTTCTTTACATAGGGTCGTGATGTTATTGTCTCGTACACGACCAAAAGGTTCAGGGTCCTCCTCGAAGGTTAGCGATGTTGTACCCCATTCACGAAATAGCTTCGGCAACGCGTCAGCTGGCTGACCTCTGATTACAAATAATCGCGAATTGATCTTTTGTAAACTGCTATCCAAATCTTCCAAGCACTGCAGTAAAAACCTGAAATTCGAATTTGAATTTTCCTTGAATTTCTAGGCTAATCCAATATACAAAGCTGAAACTATAGCAGCTCAATATGGACACTCTAAACGGCTAGCGACCATATGGGCTGTTTTCAGAAATTTATATCTGCAATACTAAAGAATATATTTCGACATAGATTTTAGTAGTCGACAGTTGATTTCTTGTAATTTTGTAATTTTTGTTATACAGAGTGGTGAACCTTTTGTTTGAATTTTATCTCTTAATCTATTAAATGCATTACAAGTTTGGGGTTAATTTGACGTCAGTTTGAAAGGTAAACCTTTGCCAACACATTCTCATTCTCTTTTGTCTGTTTGTGAAGAAGGTCATGGATAGTTACAACATCTATTATCTTTCGGAAATAAACATTACCTCTCGTTTCTCTAGAATAAATATGGTTTGTACAATAATTGTTACCTGCAGAATACGTAAATAAAATTAATGGCAGTTTCCGGAATGCAAAATTTTTTAGCTTTCGGCAAGAAATATCTCTTGAAGTTAATCTTACCTCCATTTGTTGATGCTCACGTTTGATGATCCCGCAAACCAAGGATCGAGAACAAACACGCATCGAAATGTAGTGGCCCCATCCAAACCGCTTTGTAACGATGGATTATCGTGTAATCTCAGGCATTTGCGAAACCAGTGAACCGTATGCTTTTCAGATGAAACATCGCTGCCAGTGCGAGGTTTGTTGTCGCCACTCATCTAAATTAACCAAACGTAAAATCGTAGTAAAGGGCTTGAGCTGAGGGGGAAAAATTTATTTACTTAATTATCATTAGCTTAGTAATGGTTTTGGACATTCCATATCTGTACTACCTTTGAAGTACCTAGCAAAAACAAAAACAAACCTCCCAATACGAAGTAGACGAATTATTGCAAAAGCAATGGCAACCCAAACCCAAACGCAGTCTTAGAGTTCCATCTATTTGGTACAAGCCATAATTCCAGAGGCTGATTGTTAATCACTAGCATAAAATTAATGTGTATAAAAAATAAGTCTGGAATTAAAGGGGTTCAATACAAATACAAATGTTCCATCTATTTGATACAAGCCATAATTCCAGAGGCTGATTGTTAATCACTATGTGTATAAGAAATAAATGTGTGTAAAAAATAAGTCTGGAATTAAAGGGGTTCAATACAAATACAAATACAAATTCAGTATTTTTGTATTCCCAAGATCCCTATCAGTTCTCTGAATTAAAAAGTTGTTGAACAAGTGGCCATAAAATTCCTAGTTAACAAGTGAGAAATCATAAAGTATAAAGGCAAACCCACACCGAATGGCCGTTAATTTCAATGACACTTTTCGATACTCGAATTACTCCAGTTTAGAACTGTTTTTATACAGTTGACACTTTGCTAATCTTTGCCAGGGACTAAAACCGAAAAGTATTTTGTTCGTTTCCGATCGGAGCGAAGACACACCCAGAAAATATCGTTTTAGTTTTCGTGAACCGAAATGAAATAACGGTAAAAACTTTTTTTTTATATTTGAAAAATAATTTATGCTTTTCAAAACTTAAGTGTTACAAATTCCAATACAATTATCATTATTGAAGTAATGGTTTTGACATTCCCAATCTGTACTATCTTTGAAGCACCTAGCAAAAACAAACCTCCCAATACACACGAGAATAATGACTATCACAAAAGTGACAATTAACATTCAATGATAATAATTTCATTTTAGGCGCTAAATGCAATGGACAAATAAATATTCTCTAAATACCTACATTAAATAATAATTATGCACCAAGTGTTATAAACAACACTTTAATACACCAGATTCTGAAGAAGATTAGCAACGTGTTGCATACTATACGTCTAGCAAAACGTATAGAAATTTGGTATTGTTCATCATCTGCGAAGATCACCTTCCTCTAGAAACCAAACAGTTGATGAATGATTACAAATAACGAGAAAATAGTTGCAGTGATATAATAATTGAATATTATTAAAAGTGAAGAATTTTTTTTCTATGGCAATTACACTTTCTTGCTTAATAACTAGTTCCTGCGTGGTATGAATTAGTTTAGTTATGTTCCGGGTGATTTTAATTTTGACTAAATAATTACTGGGAAATAGTTTTGCTTCTTTTGACTATAGATAAGTTTTTTTGGAAATATACATATTGTTGCTCAGTAAAATTTAAATGTTGTTCAAACTATATATATATATATATTTAAGACCTGCACTATTCGTATGATTATTGTTCTGGCAACAGCCTGATGCTTGTTGGATATAAATACCATTTAGAAGAATTTCCTTGTTCTTTTTAAATACAGTTAAAATAATGGAGTTATCAACTTGCTTTCATAAACTAAATTTGTCATGAAAAAAAATCAGGCCAGAGTCAGAGTTTCGTATTACTAAGAATAATATAGGAAACTGAAATCGAAATTTCTTGCGCTTCTTAAACTTATGTGAACAATACCAACTGCTGCTTGGTGAATAATACATTAAACGCGGTAAAATTTAGTTTCCCCTTTTAAGTTCTCTACCGCAAAAGCGTGAGTCGGGTTTCAAATATAGGTTAGCTGGGATGTTACTTCATGAAGGAAAACATAAGTTATAAATGTATAACTCCATTTCGTTACGGGTATATAACCACGAGCGTTCTGTTCTGAACAACATTGACTATAGATTCGAAATATACTGTTATTATTTGTTTAGATGTCCAGTAGACAGTGTTTTGACTGTCAAAGCAAAGCTGAAAACTTTTCAAATAAATTTTAAGACTTATTTTAGATTTATTTTTCACAAAAACGACACCAGAGATTTTTTTAAGTTTTTTTTTTAATAAAGAATGTATTTCCATATGTTGCGACCAATCTAATTTTACCCAATGAAGAATAATTTTTTGCTTTGAAAAAAATGTCAATGGACATCCCATGTGGAAGTCATTAGGGCAAACATAAAACAAAAATTTACAGTTTTATTTGTTTTTTTTCCCAATTTCAGAAATCAGTCATTTGGGTCTTTGCTCCTCTGCTTTCGCAACTCTGTTAACCACACTTTTTGTCTGTGCAAGCAGTATTTAAATGATTTAAAAGATTGGATTTATTTCCGCCAATATTCTTATTTCCGAAAGTTCCTATACAATGAATCTAGTAACATAGGGTACAATTTTTCTCAACTGATCAGTATATAGGAAGAAAGTCTTGGGTAGCATTAGATTAAGATAATTAAAAAAGTAGGGCTTTACCTCGCCAAATTATCCTTTGGTTACTGTGGGCTAAGTAATTTCTAACGTCCCAATTCCTAAGAAAAAATCACATGGTGTAACATTATGTTTTTTTAACCAGACTGGGGCTAATTTTCAAATACCGGACACACTCACAGCTTGAAAAAAATATATTTAAGAAATGCGCGAAGACGGACAAAGAATCACTATGAACTCTTTTCGATGTCAATTTCACAGCAACCGTCGCGACGTCAATAACAAAATTTTCCTTATCGTAACAAACGAGCGAAGCGTTCCATGTCCGGTGCAACGTGACCAACAAAATACCCTGCTTTGATTGGATACTAAAATTAGATAATATTCCAAGTCACGTTGCAAGCGGCGTGTCATCCAAATTGTGTTTATTTCCTTAAGAAAACTGTTATCGATCTTTTACTCCCGTACGAATATCCAGGACTATCGAGTTGAACCAGATCCTTCTAACTCAGTAGTATTAGTAAATAAACCAGATGGTTCCATTAGACTTTCGTTATTCTCGTTCTTCCCCACTTCCGTCGGCTCTGTTAGAGAAGGAAAGAGAGAAAGAACAATTGAAAAAATTGAGACCTTAAAATTTGATCACGCTTCAACACTGCATCAGAGAGATCGCGAAAATTATGACTCCTCTCAGATTACATTTTAATTGTGTTTCTGTCATGCTAAAATATCAATATAAACCACAATTTTTTTTTTCAATTTTTTTCAATAAAACCTTGTTCGAAGCTGCCGATTTATTTAGCAAATTTGTATTGTATTTATGGGACTAGTATTATGCACTACGTGCCAAATTTTCGACACATGATTTTCCAAACATCGTCAGGTGAAATTTCCTGAAGCTTCTGACGGCACAGCTTGAACTGACTCACTTAATATTGGATGAAGGCCTAGGGCTATGGAAGAACTTTGAAAACAATGATCAGGCCAAAGACGCGAGGGTGTAAATTAAGAGAAAAAATGTACAAAGACAATAGGTTACTTAGGAACTTGCTGGTATTTCTTGCCCCAGATACAATTTTATTATGGTCGAGGGACCTGTTCTTTTGTAGTGACAATTTTAGGTTTCTCAAGCAACGAACTCAAAATCTCCAACATTCAAAATGACTTTGAATCAGCACGACTATACTACTTACAACTAAATAAAATAGCGAGAAGATAACATAAGTTTAATAACTGGAGTAGACGAATTATTGCAAAAGCAATGGCAACCCAAACCCAAACTCACTCTTAGAGTTCCATCTATTTGATACAAGCCATAATTCCAGAGGCTGATTGTTAATCACTGTTCTAGCATAAAATTAATGTGTATAATAAATAAATGTGTATAAAAAATAATTCTGGAATTAAAGGGGTTCAATACAAATACAAATACAAACACAAGATCCCTATCAGTTATCCGAATTAAAAAGTTGTTAAACAAATGGCCATAAAATTCCTAGTTAACAAGTGAGAAATCATAAAGTACAAATACAAACCCACACCGAATGGCCGTTAATTTCTATGACACTTTTCGGTACTCGAATTACTCAGGTTTAGAACTGTTTTTATATAGTTGCCACTTTGCTATATCTTTCCCAGGGACTAAAAACGAAAAGTAATTTGTTCCTTTCCGATCAGAACGAAGACGAAAAATTTCGTTTTCGTTCTTTTCGTTCACACCCAGAAAATGTCGCTTTCGCTTTCGTGAACCTAAATGAAATAACGGTAAAAACTTTTTTTATATCTTATATTTTTTTAGAGCATTCCATATATATGAGATGTAGTTTTTAGCTATTTGTGAAGTTGATAAAACATCTTGATTGAATAGTGCTTTTTCCCTTTCGTTTAGGGAGTCCACTAAATTTATTGAAAATCGGCTACAAATTTTACTTGTTTCCATTTTACAATTCAGCCAGGCAGAATAAAAATCTCCAGCTAACAAATGCATTAGGAATAATTTTGCTGTTTTTTCGCAGGATTTAAAACATTACGGATGCCTTCTATTTCTGATCAATCATTTTCGCTGAAATATAGCTCCTCAATGCTTCCGACCATGTCTCTAGAAAAGTCTTTCGAACATATCGTGGGTGCTATGCCACGTGTCGCACAATCTATAATAGGTTTCTTGTTTAATTATAATTAATTTAATATTTTATATATTATCTTTTAGTTAACTTTCTAGCTCTACCTATTATCGCCAGAATACAGTCTCCTTTTAACTTTAACATATCATCCACGGCAAGCTGCAAAGTATGTGCAGCGCACCTTACACCTCGTAGAACGGGGCTACATCCGGAATTTGTAGCAATGTCACATATGGAAGCATCTAGGTTTGTAATAAATGGATTACTACCATTTTTTTGTTCTTCATTTTCTCGAATTTCATTTTCATTTTCTTAAATTTTTTGTTCTTCAGTTTCTTGTTCTTTATTTTCTTCGTCGTAACTAATAATATCGCGTTGCTGGTCTTGTAACAAACTCACCGCTTTGAGCATATTTGCCCCATTGTCTGTTGTTATACTGAATACTTACTGATATACTTCTATTAAGTCTACTTGCTCCATCAACTTGGAAAGATAATAACTTTCTTTTTCATTCTGTCGTTACTATTTCTTTTAAGCTTAAAGTATTTAACGACACATTTTTTTTATATTTTGCAGGTTAATTACGATTTTATTGTCTAGTCTAGCTATTATTGGATCTAAAATTTTTCGAAAACCCGTATCATTAAATATGCTAACAACAAATCAGGAGTAATTTTACCTGAATTATTGTTTTTTTGCTTTTTAACGACGTCATCTAAGGTAGGTTGGATATTTGGTCGCCTTTTTTTAGTTGGTGCTGATGAATTTGACGAAAGCGGTTGTGATGAGCCTGCAGAAATGTTGTCAAGATTGTACATGTCGCTGCAAGTGTCCTGAATGATTTCCCTTTATTGATGTGTTGCACTTTTTGACTTTACAAATTGAGATTGAGAAATTTGTTAGAGCAGTAATATTTTTATAAGTTCAAATTATATTATTATTTTAAAATGTTACCTTTATATATGTATAATAACAAGATTAAGACACACAAACAGAAACACAATACAGATTGATACCGATAACTGAATGTAACGAACTTGTGTAAGAAAATATTGGATGATCGCCCTGAAAAATAATATGGGATACCCTGCATGTGTGTGCACCTTCGGTTCTCCTACTTTATAGCGGAGCACTAGTGGTGAGCGCGAGTAGATACTCGTGAATCTTTGGTAAAGTAGTGGTAAATAGAAGGGCCAACGTGAAAAGAAGACCCTTGCATCCCCGATATGTCTACTAGGAGTAGCTTTCAAAAATATTGTGTCATTAAACCGATTAAAATCCTTAACCGAAATTATTTATAAATTATAATAATAATAAATTATTTATATATAGTATTATAAAATAAAAATTTCGTTTTCGTTTCCGTTTTCATTCTTATAAATTATTCGGTTAATTTCGTTCTTTCGTTCTCGTTTTTGTTTCGTTCTTAGTCCCTGTTCTTTCCAGTATTTTTTTGTAACTTGATAAGTCCGTCAATGCTATGGGAGTGTATAACTGGTATGAGTAAAGGAAATTTTATATTTTCGTAAATAAAAACTACAACATTAACAAAAATTACATTCTAATGTTCCCTACCATATAGTCCCCCAGTTTTAGACTTAATTTGTCTTCTTTTCAGTAGTTTACAATATATATTCATCGATTTCATGCGATGGCGTGTGTAGCATTGGCAGTTATGATTCATATTCGTAGCATCCCTTGCGGAGCGCTACTTCCGCTTCGTTAACGTTAAACCAAATTAGAGAGGGCCAGAATATAAGAAAAAGTTAAAAATTTCGTTATTATTCGTAACAACAACAATGAGCAATTAATTACTTTAGGTGAGGCAAAGAACTTTTTCGGTGAATGAACACGGCGGAGTAAGTAGCAGGTGAAATTCGTAGACCGGAAAAAATAACGAACTGCCTCATTTCTTAAACAACCATTTTACAATATTCATTGGATTTAGTGCGGTGTGTGCGGGTGTTGTTTCAAAGAATTCTTGCGGTATTAAAAGTTGATATCATTGATTTATTTTGTGCACGATTCTGCATAAATATTTTTGCTACTGCCAAAGGTAAGTATTTACTGTTATGCTTAATAAACCTACGGCGGTGTATCTGAACATTTTTTTTGCTCTAGTTAGGAACAAGTTCAAGCGAATCGAGTGAGTCGTTTTATCGAAAATTTATATTGCCTGTTTTAACCAAAAGATTGGGTTCACTGACATGGATTAGTCACGGAAATTGTAAAAGACTATTGTAATTCATTTTACCAGATTTCTTACTTTAGTTTAAGTTTCGAGCTTTCCTCAGTCTTAAATCATGTTGCGAGTGTTGTGTAGTATGCGAGAAACGTCGTATATAGGATAATATGTTGGTTTCTTGGTTTATGTTATTGTTATTGTCTGCCGTTAGACAACGCTATAGTTCTTAGCCTTTAAAACATGGTGTTTTTAAACCGAATTCGTTAAATTAAAGGTGCGAATCTACTCCGGTTTTGAGATGAAAATCTAATTAGTTTAAATACCCTTTCAAATGGGATTTAGTTGAAAATTTTCTTGATGTTCGTCAAATTTGGCGCAAAACAGTTTTAAGCTAGGAAGTTCAGTGGCGTCGCGGGAAGTTTGCAAATTCTATAATTTTTTTTTCTAAATTTAGCAATTATAGGAACACATCTTTTGTGTCTTTAATTATTTCTTTATTTTGCTTCGCTGTATAGACAAAAAACGCAAAAAAATAGGTTACTAACCGGTAAAACTTTTGTGCACTCGATCTTTTTGCATTCTTTTAAAAACAGTGTTTGCAAGGGATCTCCATTTTAAATCAATTTGAAAAAAAATGTAGAAATAGTAATATATTAATAAAAATCAATACATACCCTCTCCGAAACGATAAGTGCTACAAGCTCGGTTAAATTAAAGAATAAATATTTAATACTCTTTTAACGTGAACTAATGCCATCTATTCTGGTTACTTTCTGAAGGTAGAGAGCAATTTCCACAAAATTCAATTTTTTTTTTAAATATTTAACATAACTGAATCGTTCTCGTAGCTCTTCATATTGATAAATCTTTCTAAATTAAATAAATATTTAAATAATCGATCTCTTTTATAATTAATTAACACTTCATTATTGCTTCCCTCTTTCAAAAAAGTGTTTGTTTAATATTGCGCCAATATTAAAGCATAAACATTATTTCAAAATACAAGTGGGTTCAGTAAAACTTAATTTAACTTGAAGTTAAATGTTTTAATTAATAAGATCATTCTTTTTCAGATGCGTTCAAAAACATGAAATACTATTGGCAGACGGCCCGTTTAAAATTTTTGTGGCTTTACTTCACCTTCTGCCATCCTTTACTAGGCGTCAATGGTAAGCGGTTACTTGTTATTTTATTTATTAATGGATATTTCCAATTAAGTAGATAAATTGACAGTGAGTGAGTGTGATAGTGTCAAACTAAAATTAATTATTAATTATATACCAGGGCCATCCTAGACATCACTCAATGGAAAAAGGTAAATAATATCATCCTTGAATTAACGATATCGAGAAAATATATAAATGCATATAGGACCTTACATTCAAACATAGCCAATTAAAAGCAAACGAAAGTGAAAAACTGTAAAAGTTCTTGAAATTACAGTGACAATCTAGTGAAAGGCTAAAACACAATATTCATTGCGAAATGGTTTGCAAAAACGTCGATATATTATTTGTAGAGAAGCGTGTCTATGAATGTAATATTAGGTGGGAATCTATTTTACAAGTCAATTAGATTACCAGGAAATAAAATAAATTGGCAGCGAATAGCGCTTGCTTGAGAATTATTTGAAATTTCCTAAATGCAACCGAGCAATATTTTATAATGGTAGGACAAAAAACGGCCTCCTGGTCGGACTTTCTCACAATATTTTATTTGATATTATTCGGACATTGGCAATGCCAATTTAAGCGTAGTGGTTTGAGGTTTGATGGATTAACTTGACTTTCTTTGGCGTTTGCTTTATACTAAACTTCCCACGTTCGTAATTTGGTGAATTTTTAGACGAAAAATAGATAGATGAGGTATTGGAAACTTCTGAAGTTTTGATCGGATTGTTGGCAAACTTATGCAATCAATTATTGTTAAAGCCTGTAGGAACCAGTTCGTCAACTGACCTGAATTTAGATGAGTATCGCCAAGCGGCTAAAATACGCATTACAATGGCTCACACAAAACGGATTAGAAGTATCTAAAAATGGAATTAACGAATTTATTTGGTACCTTTAGTTCTAAAATATTTTTCTGTTCTGCACATTATTTCATTTTTCTAATTCTGCACTACCCATTATTTTGAGCACCTAATATAAATTATATATCATTTTCTCAAATCTAGAGCGCTCTAAAAGTAAGATTTTGTACAGAAGTTCTCGAAATACCATTTAATGCATTTAAATACTATGCTTTATTTATTCCATTATTTTCGAGTTGATTTAACTAAACTAATTCACTAATTCACTAATTCAAAACCTTATCTATCTTTTTGAATTATTGTTCACGACGACGTTAAAGAAATGTAAATTAAAAAAAAAAACTAGTTTATTTCATTTTATTGGAAATTATCTCACAATCTTGAATTTTATTGAAGTTTAATTACTTTGCATTTAAAAAATGAACGGCTAAATGTACTTTAATTCTTGATTCATGAAAATATTTTTTTATTTTAAGAGAGATACGAGATGGAGATAAGATGGAGACGGACACCCAGCATATTGATTTACTTACTTTTTTACTTCTAATATTAGGTATTGTAAAATTGTAGTAAATAAAAAATACTCTTAACAAATGGACAATTTCCTTGCCGATTCGAACCTTTTGCATATTTAAACATTTGTGGGTGAAATTAATTGCATAAAATTTCGTTTTATTAAATGGAAATCTGAAAGAGTCATTCTCGGGCTCATGCATTTGAATATCACAATTAGCTTGTTTCCTATACTAATTTGAACAAATCTACTCTACAGGACTTGGAGACAACCGTTGCTACCTCAAAAACGGCGCCTCATCGGAAACATTTTTCGTATCGGAAGACCTACCGGTAGGTGGTATGATTGGCCGCTTAAAAGTTTTGGGAAATACAAGACCGATCACGGGATCGATCGTGTTACGCATCAAGGAGCAGGACAGCCCCGTGGAAATAGTCCCGGGCTCCAGAAACCTTACATTGCTGCGTCCACTTGACAAGGAAGGGATAGATGGACCATCATCTGTTTTTTTAACTTTGTTGTGTGAACGGCTGGGCACCGCAGATCCTGAATATGTAATTCCGATAAATATTAGGTTAGTAAACAATGCAAAATTTGACATGTGGGTGTGATAAATGTTTAGACATACGTGTAACATAAATTTCAACTTTCACTAATATTTTTATATTTTTTTAATTTCGAAAACGAGATAACTTTAATCATTGTACAATGGAATGCAGTAGTACTAGTAGTATTTTGACATATATTTATATATATCACACAAGAAAGTGCGAACACTCTATAACTTTTAAACGGCTTGAGATAGCGATTTGGAATTTGGAAGGGTTAATAACGACAATAACTTTCGAATTTTAAACGGCACACCCTGTATTTTTTTGCATTTTTGGATTCAGGAGATCATTCTACGTAGGATATGATAGTTTTTATCACTTTTTTTTGTTTTTGTAAATTCTTTTTTAATTTTGAAAATTGTATCTAGGAGACTATGACCATCATAAATACTATTGACTGGGTCACCTGATAATGTGAAAAATTGTAAATGAAACTTTTCTTTACTTGTCTAATGGCAAACATCATTTAATATAAGGAACTATTATTTTTTAGGATAAAGTTGTTTTTTCAAATAGCACCCTAGTGGGAACAAAAGCTTTTTAAAACCGGTACTTTTTCTACAACATTTTGACACCAAAATTTTCAAAATCCGTGAAAAAATAACCTCACAGGAAGGAAAAAGCCAGATAAGTAAAAACGTTTTTATAAAAACAAAATATTACTTAGGTGGCTTTGCTTCTACTCATCATCAAGTCGGCATGATTGAAAATTCTGACAGTTTGTACATTTCTATTGACTTGATACCTTTAGATTTTTTTTGTTTCGGGGCACGTGAAAACCCGTGTTTATGTAACTCGAGTGTTCCACCTACAACTGCATGTGCAGAAATGTTAGGAAGGGTTACAGCAATTGTAATTTCTAGAGCCAGGGAGTGTCGTCTACAAGAAGGAGGACATTTTGAAAATATTCTATAAACTTTTCGTCTTAAAGTAAATTGGTTATTAAGTAAATATCTATCGCACTTATTAGTAAGACACATTGATATACCACTTTCAAGTCGATTCTACTAACACTGTTGAGGTTTTATTTTCTAAGAGATTTCCAAAATAATATGTTTTGTTGAATTATCCCAAAAAGTGACCGATTTGAAAAGAAGAAAAATTCTATTCTCTTGTTCTTCTGAGTTTCTAGTAAAAAGTGCTTGTAGCTTATGACGTACGTATACATACAATGCTTACGTTAGTTTTTGACTGTATCCGCCTATTCCAAAAGCATATCAATTTTTTACCGTTGAATCTCAGAAGAAACTCTTCCTTGAATTGTATGTTTTTTAAATACTAATCTGTTTTTTTGGTGTCGAAATGTTGCAAAAAAGTACCGGTTTTAAAAAGTTTTGGTTCCCGCTAGAGTGGTATTTGAAAAACCCATGTTATCCAAAAAAATTAATAGTTCATTATATTAAATGCTATTTGCCATTAGACAAGTAAAGAAAAGTTTCATTTACAATTTTTCCCTTGATCAGGTGATCCGGTAAATAGTATTTACACAATTTTCCACAGCCTCCTACACGCAATTTTCAAAAATTAAATTAAATTAAAAAAAAAGAGAAACAAAAAACGTTCTATCCTACATAGAATGATCTCCCGAATCCAAAACTGCAAAAAAATATCGATTGTGCCACTTAAAATTCAAAAGTAACTGTAGTTTCCGCTCAAACCGGAAGTGCAACCATTGACTGCATATTGTTAAAAAGTAGGACATTCAGCCTATATTCACCCTTACAAATTTCAAATAGCTATCTCAAGCCGTTTAAAAGTTATGTTCCCACATTCTTGTGTCGTCTGGTATATTGTATTATGACTCTTTAGTTCGGTTAACGAAAGTCCTACGGTAGAAAAATCGAAGCTTGGTTGTGAATTCTGAAATCAAAATTAGTGTGTGTTTTTCTATTGAGAAACTTTAGCTAATACTAAACACGAATTTATTTATTTTTTTAATATTTTATTTATTAAAAACAAACAATTAAATTACAATTATTAAAAGGTACAATTTGTTAGTTGAAATTAATTTCCACAATTGTTATAGAAGAAAAAAATAGTTGCTTAGTTTAATGCATCTGTTCCCTTTCAATGTATGTAATCTCAACAATTTAAAAAACAGAGGTGGTATTGAAAGAGCTTTTTAATTCTCTTCGTAAGCATTATTTTATGTAGTGGTCGGTCTTCTAATGAATTCCCTTTTTATCGAACTTACCTGAAATTGGAACAGACGGGAAATTCAAAGTTTTCTTTCGTTAAGTATAAAATGATATTAAATGGATAATAATAACTAGGTGTAATGATAAAATTTCAGAAATAAAACTTGTTTAAATTTTTAATTTTTTTAATAATTTGACGATGAGTTTTCATTATAAAGCTTTAGAAGACAACACAATCTATCTTTTTGTTGTATTATAAATTACAAGTTATCATAAATGAGGACAATTCAAAATATTTAGTAGTTTTAGCAGTAATTGCTTGCATTATTTTGGAGTTAATATTAAAACTCATAGCAGAATCTGTATGACGGAGAGAATAATGTCAAACGCTCTAATCTGCGCACTAAATTTGTGCTTTTCAATGAGGCTAGCATAGATTAAAGTTTTAGGGGTCTCGGGATGGGAGAGATGAAAATGAGTCGGTGAAATATTTTATATTGAAGTATCAAAAGTTGATTGCAATATGTGCCAAAAGAATTCAATTTTATTTATAAATAAAGAGATAAACCCTTTTACAGAATTGGTTTATGATGGTTACAATTTTGCCATTCCAACTGAATGAGTCAAGTTTTAGTTAGTTTAAAGCAGTCACATATTTAAAAATAGAACTATTTTTGTAATAAGGGGTAAAAGACCCGTCTAAGAAAAGGTTTAGCATACAATAAAAATGTTCTATCTTATGATGAAAGAAAATAGACTGTAGTGTCAAAAACTATAAAAAAACAGACATAAATAGTGCAGACCAGGGTTCTCAATTAAACTTTGAAATCACATTTACTGCTGATGATATTTATTACACGACGAGTGTGCTCTTTAATTTACTCTAACTCGTACCAAAATTTAAAGAAAAATTGTGACTACAAAGACAAACTTAGGCATTAAAGCTATTTTGAAGGGTAATGGATGCCAATGATAATGCACCCATTTTTGTGAACGCGCCATACATGTTAAATATTTCGGAAGCCACAGCAGTGGGGTCCACCGTGATGCAAGGCATCAGAGCAATCGATAATGATCAACCGGGACCATTTTCGAACATTTGGTAATATATAGGTTAATATTTTACAAACACAAAATCCTAATTGGCGAAAATGTGAAAATTTTCAGGTATTCTGTGGTTCCTGGACCTTATTCGGCCTTCTTTGAATTCGAAAACGAACTCGAAGGAGACTTAGTGCTCAAAAAAAATTTGGATTACGAAATGGTGAAGTCGTTTAATGTCACACTTCGCGCCCAGGATCACGGCGACCCACCAAAGTCGACAGACACAGTCCTCAGAATTTATATTTTGGATAGCGACGATCAAAATCCAAGGTAAATCTTCTAACAAACCACTCGAAAACTAGTCTCATTTACACCAAGTTTAGATTTTTAGATGAAAGATATACAGCGACAATACCAGAAACAGCAACTCATGGAATGAACTTGGAAATAAAACCTCGCGCCATATACGCGTTTGATCAGGACGAAGGAATTCGCGAACCAATATTCTACTCCTGGGATGGTTCGGGTGGTGATTACACCATTTTTCGGTTAGATCGCCGCACTGGAAGTGTTACATTGGCAAAAACTTTAAAAGATAAAGAATTGGAGCATCCGGCTGTGTTAGTGATCAGAGCATCTCAAGAAAATAATCATGACAGGTTCATATTTCTATTTTAAGTGAAGTATCTCATATTTTATTCAACATCGGAAACTTTTTTTCAAACAATTTTACAACACTTGCATCGTGGCGGGTGATTTTGTTGTGGGATTCTTTGAATACAGACATTTTTATAACTTGCGTATGTTTAAAATACAGCAGAATATAATACACTCGAAATTCTATATAGGGAAATTGAAGGAACTGATTTTTTTTTCATTAAGAAGAGTTTTCATTATAACGAGTTATAGGTACTTGAAAAATAACAATACGCATATGTGTTCTGCAATATTTAATTATTTTGTATACATATTTTAACATCTACTTAGGAACATTTTATATAAATATTTAAGAACTACATTTAATGTTTCAAATAATCGGTTGTTTTTTTTAGTATGCCAATACGCATCTCGTACTTTGGCTTGTATTTTCACCATTTCTTCGAGAGGGGCATATAAAAAATTTCTCTAGCAGCTTAACTAAATATAGGGCTTGTTGAATGGTTGGTGGTGGTCCCAGATCAACTTCTTCCTCTTGATGCTCTTCCTTTTCTTGCTTGTTGTAATATGGCTTCCCCTGTTAAGTCTGCTGTTATAGGCAAATCCTGATCTATCACCATAAAATCTTGCAACTCCTCGTAAACGTAATTGTTGTTTGAATCTGCTTTATCCACTCGCTTAGTGGCTGATCATCTTCCAAGTCCTGTTCGCATTTTGTCTGGGTAATAAGTCCTGCATGACGATAGGAGTGTTGAATTGTTTCTGCTGTCACCTCTTTCCAAGCTTTACTAATAAAGTTGACTGCATCTAGAATATTAATGGAAAATTGGTCTTCGGATTCGATCATTTCTCTTAAGACTTTTTATTACGCTCTGGTGCATCGGCTATAATACACTTGTTGTTTTGGCTTGAAGAAATTCAATATTCCGTAGATTTGGAATAGGGTGATGTGCATGGCAGTTATCTAAGGGAAGTAAAATTTTCCTCCCCTGTAATTCTGCATCCCACTTCCGTATCTGCTCTTCCAAAATTTGCGATAGCATGCATTCAGACTTATTTACTTTGTAAATGGCCGGCAAATGCTTGCTGTTTTGGGTTAGTTGATTTTCCAATCACGACTAGCTTTCTTTTTTCTCTCCCACTCATATTGGCAGCTACTACTAATACTGTTATACGTTCTTTAGAAAGTGTTCCACCCACACACTTTTCGCTTCGAAATTTAAGAGTTTTATCTCGTATTTTGTAAAAAATACCAGTTTCGTCAGCATCAAAAATGTCGTCAGCAGGGTATTTTTCTGCTAGTTTTGGCCGTGTCTTCTCCAGCCAATTTAGTGACGTTTCTGCCGACATCACGGGCTTCGCCACTTATCTGTCCATAATTTAGACCATGTCTCTATTTGAACTGCTCCAACCATCTCTCCGAAGCCTTGAAATCGATTATGCCAAGCTGTTCAGCAAACTTTTCTGTTTTTAGTTTTACGATAGGTCCAGAGAGTGGTACATTTTTAAGATGTTACTGTTGGAACGACTACAACATTGCCCGATACAAATCTTTAAATTTTGGCTTTCTTAGTATTTACTAGAACTGCCTGCCGCTTCAGCCTGAATGATTTTTTCTTTGCACTTCCAAATCGTGGATACGTCCCACATCACTTTTCTTTTCTCCCCGTTCTATCTCCCGAATTAAAGCAAGTTTATCATCTAGAGATAAAATTTTTCGCTTACTCGCCATACTCGCAGTATTCACTAGGTCAAATTAGAACTGATTGAAACAATGGTGTGCTTTTATACATACGGATAAAGGCATTGACATAATCGCTTATTGCGAGAAAAACACTAAAGACTCTGTTAATTACAAATCAGCCTACATTCCTTACTTTGTTATCTGATGTGCCCTTTTTTCTTTCAGTATAGAAAGTGAGAAATTCGCTATACAGAGTCGATTAGTACATAGCTTTGTATGCTGACCTAATAGTTTTACATTATACAGAGTTTCGCTATAGGAACTTTTCACTGTATATTTTTTATATAAATTGAATTTAAAAGGTTTCATTATTATCAAATTTTGGAAATAATACTATTGTTTAACTGAAGGAAAAAATAATTTAACAATCCTAACGACTCTGAAAAAAAAAGTTATTTATTTTGTTTTTTGTTCTTTAAAAAAGTCCTCATTGGATCTTACAACTAAACTCAAAATGTAAGGTTTTTAGTTTGGTATCTGCAGGTTTGATGAGGTTTTTGTCACAATATTTGCAATATTGCAAGTTTACGGAAAATGCCGATCATTATTTCCAAAAGCTGAACGTCGAAAAATATAGGATATTGTGTAAACTTATGACTTACGACGTAATAATTTAATGATAATGGGTCATTTCGAGAATAAATGCCGCCAATGCTCGCAAAACACTTTTTAACTGCTTTTGAGCATGAAATGCTAATGTAATTGTTTCGTATTCGTATTCCAAATTAATGCCGGGCCTCAAACTATCTCATTTCAAACCAGATTTTGTATGTTAATTTAGATACGCATTAGCAACTTTAACAGTTACCAGACAGTTTGCCTACGAAGATCTTCGCTTTAGTGAGCGCATATTTCATATTCGAGCGGCAGAAAATTTGACTACGGGTTCTATTTTGGGGGTGCTCACCAACAACAAACCGGGCCAGCACCTCAAATATTTCGTATCGAATCAAGAAATTCTCAAGACGTTTATGATAAATTCATTGGGGGAGCTCTCATTAGTTGGAGAGCTGGACTACGAAACAAAATCCGAATATTCGTTTAAAATTTTCGCCACAAATGGAATTTCGGTAAGTGAATCGTGTAAATATTGCTCACACTGCATCCATAACAAACAACGAACGAGAGTTTTGCTACCACGAAGAACAACAAATTGTTTAAATTTTAAACAATATTGTTTTACAAGCGCTATAAAATTAGTATATACAAAAAAAAACTTGGAAATAAAAAACTTATTCAAACCTTGTGCCTAACGTATTCGAAACATTGCATGTAATTTTCGTTTTTATAAGTTCATGTTTGAGACCCTTTTCATAACTACGGTACTTTTCAAATAATTTCAGAACGACTCATGTTTCGTGAACGTGACAGTCGAAAACGTCAACGAATGGGAGCCTCAATTCCGCTACGCACGCTACGAGTTCTTGGCGAATATAGCAAACAAAACCAGTACACTTGTGGGCAAAGTGGAAGTTGCCGATGGAGATAAAGACGACAAGATAACACTCTCGCTAGGAGGTCCTGACGCCCACTTGTTTTCCATAACTCCTAACGGCGAAATTATTTTGAAAAATCCTAAAAGTAGGTTTTTCCAGAAAGTTTCGTCTGCGAACCACATAATGTCATCTTGCTTTCCAGGTTTATCGGTTGGTACAGCATCTATAATGGTCACTGCTACTGATAGTGGACGACCTCCGAAACAAACCACTGTACCGATTGGTGTGCGGATTTCTACTATCGGCACTACCTCGGCAACAGTAATCTCCAAAAATGAACGAGACAATATGTCATCCATGCTCATGGCAGGCCTCGGTGCTGCTCTATTGCTGCTCAGTTTTTTGTTCGTTTTTCTAATTGCCTGTATTTGTAAAATGTGAGTATGCATTATTTAATATATAATAATAATAATAATAATATCTAGCAGGCTTAATATAGATCCATTAAATTTATATTTGTATTCTGTACTGCTACTACGCTAATTTTCTTGCCTGAATTTATCAGAATGTATTTCCAAATGCCTTTGTTTTTTCTTGATCGGACCAGATGATGGTATATGCAAAATTATATACTGAAATGCACTACCAAAAATTACAATATAATGACCACAAGACAAACTCTGAGAAAGAAAAATGCTAAATTCGGTATAACAATTTATAGTCCAGTTTCTTGGTTCTTTACTTCTCTTTACTATCGATACCAAGACGAGAAGCGACCCTCTCCTGTTTCTCATTGTTGCGGTCGAATCAAACAGTTTGGCAGACAGGGCATAGTGCTTCTTGACACTTATAGTCCATTTTCATCCAGTACAATACAAATAAAAAACATCTAAAAAAATATTCTATATTTTTCAAAAAACTAAAACTCTATAAAGATTAATGAATCAATGATGAATCAGTATTAATTTGTATTTGATTAGTTACTATTTCCAAGAGCCGTTCTACTGAAAGCACTGTCTTGCTGGCGGGGTAATTCAAATTCGGCGCTCTGAGCTTTTACCAATAAAACGAAAAACACTTTCTTCTACAAAAAGTGTTATGAAAAGTTTAAAAACTCCTCAATATCGATTATTCCTTTCTTCATTTTTAAAGATAATAATTATAATAGGGGTTAGTGTTTTATTTGATTGTTGAATTAACCCATATACAATTAAACAGAATTGACTTATTAGAGAGCGTCTGCATAGGTAAATCACCTAGTCCATAATTTTTTGTATGTCGTAAATGAATGGGATTTAAGTTACTTATTTCGGCACACATAAAACAGCATTTTTAAATATTCAATTTGAGAGCAAACCTAAAACTGGTTTTTCTATTTGACACGCAACGCTTCCTTGCTGTGGGCGAGGGTCATCCTAATCTTCAATTTCTTAGATGATAATGACCTCGATGTGGTCGAACAAGTTCTAACAGAACTATGCATTGCATTTGGTGTAGAGGAGCACAGCGGTTTTGCTATTAAGATATTTGTTTGGTAATGGTAAATACAAGTTTTCAAAAATACACGTTTATTATTTCAAATATGGTTTGTACTATGTGATCTATTATTTTTTGAATACGGAAGTTATCCATTTATCCATTATCCATTTTTATACAGGAAACGAGCTCCAAGGCCCAACGTAGTGGCCGCTTACGGAGATAAGCAGCAAAAAACACAAAGCCAAATCAGTAATCCAGTGTTCGGTGATGATAAAATTTCATCACCTATGTCGGTCACCTCTAGTCGCCTGTCCACTTCTAGACGAGAATGTATACAGTCCAATTTAAAGTCTTTGGCTACACCTGTTGCACTCGGGAGGGTAAAACAAATGGCTTGGGAACAAAGGGTAAGTTTGCTACTTAATAACATTAAAAAGAATGGCAAATACGCTTCTCGTTTTAGGAAGACGAAGGTAGTGAGCAAGTGAATGCTGCCGATAACATACCAAAGGTTTTAAGAAACAGTAATTTAACGGTTTATTTCTAAGAATGCGTTCTAGGTTATAGTTTTTATAAATATCCGTTTTGTTATACAGTTGATAATTGTTGAAATTATTATATATTTTTTAGTAAAGAAAAAAGTGTTTCTTCTTATTACACTTACCTGACAAAATTATAAATCGATTTCTGAGCTGACTCTAAAAGATACTCCAATCAATCATTTTAATCCGATCAGTTCATCACTTTATCCTTACAGAAATCTTCTCAAAACAGTTACTTCATTTTTCTATCTAGCATTTCTTATACCCTTTTTATTATATGTGGGCAGTTCTTACAATTATTATTTCTTTATTGCTTTAAGTTGTTTGTTATATAGAGATATGAAAACTTTCATTTGGTGGTTTCTAGGGCTAGCGAATAAATAAAAAATGATTTGAAAATGTACAGCTATCTGAGCTAGATACGTTATCAGACCTAGGAATGAATTATGGAGCCATGTTTTACATTTTACAAAACGTAGATTTTTATACCTGTACCAGTTTATACATTGTGCAATGTATAAGCAGATACAGAGAGTTTCAGTCACGCTCTGAAGACGCCAACAGGATGATGTGCGAAACGTTAGCAAGTTCGACTAAACAAAAACCGACGCAGGAGGAATGCAGATGTTTTGTAAAAAGTATTACAGTAGACTGTGGAAGTTTTGGCAAGAACGGAGCGAATGCTTAATAAACGAGTGACTTAAAACGTTTTTTCAAAACAGTGACACTTAGTGATGTGTGACGTGAACGTCAGAATTGACATAGGTCAAAATACCATCCGTAATAGAAATCTACCGAAAACATGCCATCGCTCACAAACGCGTGACTCATGTAGCGAAAACGTCTAAACCAACCACAACATCAGTTTCGCCTTTTCAGTGCGTATTTTGGAGAAGGGAATCTAAAATGGTATCTTATGCACCAAGTTTGCTAAACGCCATTTTAGTCACGACTTTAATTGGGCACTGCGAGCGCTTAATAAACCAGTGGCTGAAATGTAATCGTCTCGTGACTAAACTACCGAAGCAGCTCGCGTAGTGAAGCTGGCGTCTTAAAGCGAAACATTCCGCTCAATTGATGGATGCATATTTGGGTGCCTTCGGGCACGGAGTAGAAAAAATTAGTTATAATATGCACATGTACCTGATTATCATGTGTCTAGAAAATGTAATCTCAAAATTTTGCAAATATAGAATTTGATAAAGAAATTGCTCAGATACACAATCACACAATACACAATGTGTAAAATCTGTAAATAAATAAAGAACGAACAGATAACGCAAGCAATACCTACCAATTTACTATGTACTTTAAATGGAACACCCTGTATATTCAGACATTTTTGGAATCCTTGGTTAAAATAAAGGTCACTTTCTTAAGAAATTCCTATTCAAATTTTGCATAGTTTAGATAGAAATTGAGGTTATGTGCTTTTGTCATATTGTGATTGTCCCATATAAAATTGTATTGTGTCGCTACTGATATAGGTATTGCAAAGAAAATTTAACCACAGACTAAGGAGATGATGCACTACTCAATCAGTTTGAGAGATGTCCCTTAGCTTATACAGAGTGTCCCAAATAGGTGGTGCCGTTTTAGCGAATTCAGGTAACAAAATCTCAAGATTTTCAAATGGAACATGATATATTTTTATCCAGATATCAATTCTAGGACAAAAAATAAGGGAAGTTTGTAATATTTAAGTTTTACTTACTTTTTGAAATATTCGAGGTTTAAGATAACACCCGTATAAATTCTTATTGGATTTAAAGCTGCCCACATTAACTCACTTGTTGGCAATGATACTACTTCTTTTAAAACTATAATACTCCAGATATACGAATAAATTATACAATAATACGAATAAAACAATACAACAATACAGGATGTCCATTAATACGTGGAAATTTTGCAAAAAATCGACTCTACACTACACACTTTAACAGATTTAATAAAGCTTCAGAATTCACATTTAAAGAAACATTTAATAGTTTATTATTTAGCTTGAAAATACCTAATATCAAAAATAAAGAATTAAAGTTTATAGGCTAAACAAGGTAACAAATGCCTATAAAACAAAAGAAAAAACAAAAACAAATAACTCAAAAATAAATAAATATAGTGATACTGTAATATATTTTCAATATACTGTCCATCCTCTGCAATACACATCGCTTAGCGCGTCATAATGCTAGAGACCGCATTTCTAACCGCATCACTAGTATCTAATGCAAAAATCGTTAAAAAAAAATGGGACCAATAATTCTATCCCTTGTAATACCGCACAAGACTTTAACACTCCTATGGCCCTGTTTATTAATTTTTTACATGCCAGTCTTTGTGAAAATCGTCTTATCGGTCCATGATGTTTTGTTTAAAATGTTCCTCTCAAAATGTTCGTCCATCATGACCATGTTTTAGAACAACGTGATTTGATAATTCTATTAAATATTGTTTTGTTGGTATTTTAGCACCCGGAAACTTGAAAGCTATTTTTAAACCACATTTTGACAAATTTTTTTGAAACTTTTTCACTAGGTTCTCCTATATAGATAATAGAGTTTGATTATGGAAACCCACTTAGTCTTTTGTTAGCCGAAATTTTTATGGATAATTTGGAAAATATATTAGAACATCCTTTAAGTAAAAGTTTTCTATGGTGGTATAGATACGTGGATGATGTCTTTGCTTGCTTTGTTGGAACAGACAGTCAATCGAATTCTTTTGTAAATTACATTAATTCAATACATAATCGTATAAAATTCACTATCGAGATTGAACAGGATAACTCTATTAATTTTTTAGACTTAACTATTACGAACACGTAAAACAAATTAGATTTTTCCATTTATCATAAACCTTGACACACGGACAAGGTCATACATAACAGCTCCAATCACCAACATCTATCGTGTAGTGGATCGTTTTATTTGGCACACGGTGTATTTTGGATTGATTCTTATAATTTAGGTATTATTTCTGTATCGACAATTAATAATGAAGATCATGTAACATTAAAGAAAACTTCACAAGTAAGGATATGGAAAAAGTTGATACAAATAAAATAAATCTGATTTGTACTTCAACTTATTCGTTTCAAAATATTATCGGAAGAATTTTTTTTTATTAGTTATGGCAATCAAAATACTGTGAAAACTATATTAAGTTTAAATAAAACAAATTTTTGGGATATAAATCGGACCTTATTGTCATTTTACGATACTCTCTGTTAAACATTACGATAAGACCACTGTGCTACTGATAAAATAATTATATCGGTAATTTGAAATACTAAGTCTGCGTTAAAATTTATGAATATTCGTTTGGAGACATTGAAACTCGCCAAAACAATAATTTGTGCCTCAAATCGATGAGTCCATAAATCGGTGAAATAATGTATCAGAGTTTTAAGCGAACTTTTATTTCTGTTAATTCGCAGTTTTTGAATAAAAGTGTATTCGAAATTTCGGAAGAGGTTAAGAGTGCATTAAGTGCTAAGAAAGCAGTCGTTGCGTTAGAATCTGCAATTATCACTCATGGAATGCCTTATCCAGAAAACATTCAATGTGCATTAGAGGTCGAAAATGTTGTGAGGACTCAGGTAAGTTCTAAATATTTTCTACATGCCAAACACAAAATAAGTTTGGAAAACATCATTCTTTTCAGTTTATTTAAAAACTGTATAAAATTTGTTTCATGTCGGTCCGAACTCTCTTTATTCAATAAAAACAAAAACAACAACTGAAATACTCAAATACAAGATATCAATTCGTAAGATGATTAAAATGATTGTACCCAAAGCTTAACAGAATTAAGGAGAATAACAGAACAGTGACACAATAAGAAAATAAAAAAAGTCACGCAACAGTTGGAAAAGAGAAGTTTAAAACTGATTTTATGTCACTGGGATGAAAAAGTTGGCCCCTTTCCAGTATTTGTAGTCTATGTTATATTTAGGCTTCATAGTAGTGTTGAAGCAATATCTGATTTTGAAAAATATTCATAAATCAAAAACTCAAACAAACACAACGAAAATTAGTTTATTGTCATTATCAAACTTTTAAACACTTTTAAATTCGACAATTTCTAAAGGATTCTTATATAGATAGTTTTGTATTAAATTAACCTATTAAATTAACCGCGAGAGAAAATCAGCTGAACTTTTATAATCTATATTGAAATCGCCACATATAAAGACAAAACAATTTTAACAAGTTTAAAGGCAAATCCGACTTAACACTAGTTTATTAAAAGATCATCTGAGGCTGTTCATCAGTATGTTGAAGATATTATTACTGCTCTTGACACAGATATCCGAAAATATAATATATTATAGTACTTTAAATAATAGTTACTTTGCCACCACCACATAAATAGCCTGCCAGATGCATTATATCGTATAAATCTGAAAATCAAATATCTCATAGTTCAACAACTAGAATAAAATTCCTTGATTGCAATAACCTGATACCCATAACCGAACGTAGAATAGATTTTTTTTGAATACATGCTCTCCAGGTTCTCCAAAAAAAATTACTGACCTTACTAAAGATTCTGTTTTGGCTCTTCCACTTACTTATGAAGAACTATTATCATACTTAAACATCATCCACTTTTCGTAAGAATTCGCAAAAATCTTATAATATATGAGATGGGTTCAAAAAGTAAGGTGACTTTTAAAATTGGGAGGATTACGTCCATTCGATCTTCGATATATTTTTTTGTTATATTGGTACACATGTCCCTAACATATGTTCACAGAATCAGTCAGATTGCAAGTTTACTTTTCTTTTGTAATACAGAAGCGTTAAACGTCTGTAGTGTGCTCGGCGATTTTCTGCTGTCAAAAAAAAATAGAACAACAAACAATTCGCATGAAAAGACGCCAATGATGAACCTCGCCTTGGACGCCCCAGCACGTCAATAACTGATGAAAGGAAGAAGTGAAACAAACAAACATTGAATCACTATTAGAGAAGTGGCTGAAGACGTCGGCATCTCTATTGGCTCGTGCTATGCATTTTTTTCTGAAGTTTTTGGCATGAAGAAAAGGAACAACTGGTGACGAATCATGGGTATATGGTTGTGACGTCGAAACCAAAAGCCAGTCGTCTCAATGGAAGAGCCCAGAATTGCCAAGACCGAAAAAAGCACGTCAAGTTTGATCAAATGTCAAGGATTTGCTGTTTTCGTTGATTATCTTGGCGTAGTATATCAAGAGTTCTTACCACAAGGTATAGAGTATTACCTTGGAGTTATGGAATTGTGGGAAAACAATTCATGGATTTTACATCACGATAATGCACCTGCTCGCTCTTGGGAAAAAACAAAACTACAATCATACCTCAGCCACCATATTCAACAGATGTGGCCCCCTGCGACTTTTTTCTGTTCCAAAAACTCAAGAAACGCATGAAAGAGGTTTGGAACGATTGAGGAGATAAAGAAAAAATGGCTGAAAGAACTCAAGGCTATATCAGAAAGGGCTTCGAGGATTGAAACAAACGTTGGTACAAGTGTATTATATCTGGGACAACACTAATTTTGATAAATAAATAGATACTTTCTGATAAAACTTAAAAGTCACCTTACTTTTTGAACACACCTCGTAAGTAGAATAAGTAAATCCATCGTCTAATGTTTCCGGACATTTTTAAATGTTTCCTCCCTGATACTAATCTACAGGGCGCAGTTCCCGCAACTGTAGCTCTTTTGGATGGCAAAATCAAGGTCGGATTGACAAGGCCTGAACTGGAAAAGTTGGGTGACACCAAAATAAGCAAGCCTATAAAAACCTCAAGGAGAGACTTTCCTTATGTTCTAAGCAATAAACGAAACGGCGGTACAACTGTGGCGGGCACTATTATAGTTTGTAATGCCTCTAGCATAACATTTTTTGCAACTGGGGGTAAGTTTTAGATTATTGTAATTAGTTTTGAAGCAAAAAATTAGTGTGTTGCATTTATTTGAAGAAACTAATATTTTACAATTTCTTTTCAAGACGAGACAGATATATTGAAAAATTTCAGATGGTTTAGACGTTTTTTTTTTAACTTGCGGTTAAGAATTACGTAGACAGAGTGAACTACTTAAAACCAATCACAAAGATGGACTTCATTTTTGGACTTTTTAAAATATAGGAAACGACAGCGAACGATAAAGGAGATAAAGTGGAAATACCACGGATATACTCGAAAATTCTAAACTTTCTGTACTACAAGTTGTAGTACATTCGCGTCACTTTGTAACTCTTACCGACTTTCCTCAGGTAAAGCCTGAAGTATAGTTGAGAAATCGGGCTTATTTTGAATTAACTATGAATTAAAAGTTGAATAATGTATCGAATAAATGCATTTTTTTTTCGAACAAGCAAAAGTTGTTATATTATGGAAAAGGAATATTTTTTAGAATTTTCTATTTAAACCCCCTATATTTGATAAACTACTTACTATTGAACAGGCACAATGAGCCACTTCATTTTTTTTTATTGGAATGGTTTTCATACAATTTTTTTTTAAGAATGTTCGTTGTCAATGAATACAGTTTTGAGAAATTTGACAGTGCTATAAATAAGGTCTGATTTTTTTAGGAATAGGTGGTGTGCACAAAAAATTTGAAAAAACTCTTGATATTTCGGCAGACCTTCCAGAATTGGGACGATCGAACGTAGCTGTTATTTCAAGTGGAGTTAAATCTATTTTGGATATACCCAAAACTCTGGAATACTTGGTAAGTCATAGCCAAAAGTATGTCAAAACGAATGATAATTATAACCAATTAATCTCAATAGATATTGGGATTAATGGGATTAGTGCAAATATATATTCTACATATATTAAGGAATATTTTCAAAAACAAAACGCCTAATACGCGCACCTCTATTTCAATGCACATGATATTACCAAAAACCTTTCAGGCTCATTATACGATCGAGTTGCTCTGTTACGCTATATTCAATTTAAAGTTTGTTATTGTTGGTTATTAATTGTTCAGTATATTTGTTGCATCCCGGGGCAGTCAATTAAACCGAAGTTATAAGCTAGTTGAAGAATGTTTCTATCCGCACAGTTTCATTTAATCAACAATTGCTAAACTTCCTTTATAAGTTAACGAAATTCCGGCAATTAGTTCAGAATAAAATTTGGATTTTCTGCTCGAGTTGATGCATTTATAAAATTGCCTTGCGGTTGGCTTGCATCCAAAACTGCGAAAATGGAAACGCTTCGGATACACCATGCTCAAATGCGCTCGGTGTGGAATAGAAAATTGAAATTGTCCTTCCTTATGCAACAGATAGATACTTAAAAAGGCATTCCTAGGAGGTTATTTTTCAGAAACATACAACAGTGTAAAAGCTACGCAACGTTTATTAACACAAATTTCAATTTGCGAAGTTAATACTATTTCAATTATTCGGAAATTTTACCTGGATTTTCATTTTACATCGGTTGTGGTCATTTTTCCTCTACGGGCTATAGACCTCTACAGTACCTCTGTAATAATAAAACAACTATTATATAGGTACTTTAATTAAATTAAAAACTAAATCAAAACATTTCTAGGACAAGAAAGAAGACCATTGTTTCTGAGTGGGGGATACTAAGGTTGTTGTTGCTGTTTATATTTTGTAGAAAACAGATCAAACTAGACCAGTATTACTAAAATGCGAAAATGTTGCTTATTAGCGTTTATAAACTCCTTCCCAAGAATACTAAAGCCGCTAGCCAGCTATCGCTAATATGTTGTAACTATTGAATGCAATTTAGTTGTGGGATATAAACATAAATTTTGTTATATGAAATATTTTTTATATATCTTTGTTTATTTACTTTCTAAATAACTGGATTTATATCTAAGTATTTTATTTTATGTTTTTTCTTGCAAAAATGCAGTTTTTTGAGTTGTGTAATATGTTTAGATATAATACACGCATAATAATAATACAACACCGGTGGCACACTTCTTATATCCATTTTGTCCAATTGTCCAGTACAATATACTGTCGCAGTAATGTATTTTTTAATTAGACGAATGATGAACTGTATGTTTGCAATACTGATTAACCATATTTATCGCTTTTAGGAAACTCTTGGCGTCTTCATTGCATCGTTTGGACAAGACGCCCGTTTTCCAGCATTTTATTCTCGTTCAAGCAGAAGCAATACGCCGTATAGTGTTTCAAATGCTTACGAAGCTGCCAAAATAGTCAAAGCTCACAAATCTTTGAAACTGGAATCAGGTTGGTAGACAATATTCTACATTAACGGTCGCTTAATTTTGTATAGAAAAACATTCCAGGGTCCAGGCTCTGACCATTTTTAGTATGTCTTTTTTAAAGTTGACTTGAAAACTGTTTTGGTGTTATATTATGTGGCTTTTTGTCCGATCTTTTATAACATACCTTTAACATACGGAATGTTTAACAGAGCGACAGCTAATTATTGAGAGATTTCTCAGTTAAATTATTCTGGAGCAAATCTGATTTAATATTATTCAAAGATTTCGAAGATTTACTTTAGTAATTCTGTGCATCAATAAACAGTGGAAATAAACTGATGCAGTTTCCTCAGCAATATTCAACGTATCTTTTCCAGTTCCATATTAAAGAATTGTTTATTATTGTTTATCATTTCGGGTAATACATTGTTAAAAAAATTGATTGATTATATTCAACCTGACTGACATTGGGCACTAACTTAAATGCAGATTTAAAATTGTATCGGCAATTACAAATTTTTCAAAAAATAATGTAATTTGTTTTAAGAACCTGCGGTTCATTTTGTTCAATTTTTGATTTAGAAAATTGCATTAATCACATCTTCATTTTAGAGGTATGAGAAATTTCTTATAATTTCTAGGTCTACTCTTTGCGGTCCCAGTACCAGAGGAACATGAACTACCGTTCGATTTTATAGACAAAATTACCAACCAAGCCCTAATGAAACTCGACGGAGAAGCACAATTACAAGGCAAGGATGTTACCCCATTCCTGTTAGCTGAAATCGCGAAAGCAACATCCGGAGCTTCAATTAAAACCAGTATCCTTCTATAATCTGTTCGGCTTCAATTGTAATAGCGGTAGTTTATATTTTGCGAACAAGTTAGAGGTCAGGACAAAAGCCACTGTAACTACGAAACTTCTCGGCAAGTCGTTTGTTTTGAAAATTGCGACTTGGATTTAAATATAATTACTTTTTGGTTCGAAACTAATTGAATGTTTCCGTTTTTTTGACACTCTTTATTTCGGTTATTAGAATTGCAGGAAGAGGTTTTAAACAAACACTACAATTACTTTACAATTGCACATTCTACAATTGAAAATTTGTACGAACCTCAGTGATCAACCATCCAAAATTCCAAAAAGATATTTCTGAAGCAAGTCACAAATTTATTTTATGAGATCCAAAATATACCGGGTGTTTCACTAAGGACAACAAGGCTATGTATGAGCGAAACGGACGGTGGTATGAATTTTAATAGCCATCAGAAAGCGTACTTACTATCTTGATTGTTAAAATGTTTCTGCAAAATTTTCTTATATTAACCGTGGTTAGAGAGTGGCCACTTTTAAAAAATTTTCTTTTTCTTCACTTCAGGTTTTAGGCACTTTGACTAACTCGACCTCACATTTTTCTCAGCTTTCCTGTATTTATTTTTTCATTGCCTCGATAAAATCTGACTTTGGCTGGTGATATCTTTTCGTACATCTATTCCACGTGTTCTTTCCACTTACGTTTTTATTAAATATGTCTAATTCTATCTCTATTTATTAGTCTGTATAGTTATGTGCAATGTTCAACTCTTAGAAATTTCATTTCTTGTACTTTTACGTTCATCAGCTTGACGCGTTTTAATAAAATTGAGTTGCTACGCTATCAATCGTTTTCCTACGTTATCAATCGTGCTGAGTGAGGCGATTACGGTTGCTTACGTCTCCATCGCAAAGAAATTTTATGAAAAAGAAAAACAAAGATATGACCTTTTGTATGTAAGTAGGTAGTCAAACAAGGACCCGGTAATAAAATAAAAAAAGTACCTAACCTAAAATATAAATAAAAGAATTTAAAACCACAAAAAAGTATTTCCCTACTTTATTGGATGATATTAATGGATAATTATACCTGATTTACCAAATAAAACGCACATTTTAGTGTGGAAGATAACAAATTTGGCTATTTATCTTGATTGCTTATTTTTCAATATTTTCGAAGGTCGAAAATTTACCCAATAACTGAGAATATAATATATATAACTATGGATTGGCAATTATTTACTATCGCCACTTATTTTCTTATAAAAAATTAAGTTAAATTATTTTGGAAATACCGTCTGGTGGTATTGGAATTGCCTCACTCTTAGCATGAATGATAGCTTAGGAAAAGCTCGTCTTACAAATCAAGTTTATCAACACGAACTATATCTTCGTAAGTAAATAAGTAAGTAACTAAGACCTAGACGGTGCATTAGGCATACTTTCCATAGTACAAAAATAGTTTTAGTTCGAAACGGATGTTCCTTACACAATTTGCAGATGTGGCGTTGGTGAAAAATAACGCTAAGGTGGCCGGCGAAATTGCGCTGCAATTCTCGAAGTTGGAGAGAAAAGAAACAGAAATCAATGCCAAGTCAAATCGTAATGGAGATGCAGTAAGTTCGGACTTATCTTAACCAAATATTTCGATTTGTTTCGAAATGTTTCGTGTTTGCGGGTGAATTTTAAAGCAAAGAATTATTTAGTTAGTCGGTTATTATTTGATATCCAAAAACTTTACCAAATTTCTAACAATTCCATTTTTATTTTATTATTTTATTTTTATTCGCTTTTAAAATGTTAAAGTAGTGTGGCATTAGTTCTCAACGGTGATGTAGAAATTTCAGAACTATTGCAGTTAATTTAATTTACTGCAAAATTCTAGGAATTCTAGGCGGCACTTTTTTATAGGGTTAAGCTATGCACGCGCGCATATTAAGTAGCAGGCCACGAATGTGTCAAACAATCCATACGTCACTTAATGTTTCTCTCCTAGCATACATATATTGGAACTTAAATATGCTAATAATTTTACATAACCAAAATTTAGAATATTATGCAACAAGTGCGGCAAACGGCATTTGACTCATGAGTTTATTTGGCACGAGCGGAGCGAGTGCTTAATAAACGACTGACATAAAGAATTTACCAAATGTGTATATTATACTTTTTCTAGGACCGTCACGAAAAAATCACAATCTAACAAATTAAAAATAATAACATGTTATTGAATTACTAAAGCATCATTCAAACAAAATATTTACCAGTTGCCATTAAATCTATTCGTTTGTATTTCCGATCAATTGTGCTATTGTTAACTGTGTACGTTAGACAGAGATGTATTATGGGATATGTCGTATAAACAACGGAATAAACACAATTTTAACACTTTATGATGTTTATTTAACTTTTACAATTGATCATTCAGTAATTTAAATGAAAAAGGCTGTAATTGCAAGAAAAATCATCCAAGAATAGAGCTTTTAAGAGGATTAAATTTTTAAGATTGTATAAGCAAGAAAAAGGGCTTCCTAACCTTCAATTTTTGTTTTGTTTGTAAGTTCATGCGAACGGCATGTAAATTTTGTGTGGGAAACTTAAACTATAAATGTCACTTTACTTACCGAATAGTCCACTAGATTTAAATTATAGCTTATAGTACGTAGGATTTACATTTTCTGATATATTGCATAACATTTTTCAGTTTATTAGTTCTTGGATACATTTTTGCAAAACAACGCGAATACATTCAGAATTGACAAACGTCAAAATTCAAACCATGAGGTAAAATTTCCGAAAACATGTGATTGCTCCCAAACCCGTGCGGTAAAATCCCGGAAATGTCCGAAATGGCTCGGATCCGTGGGAAACGAAACTGACGTGGTAAAATGACGCTTCCCGCACGCTAGATTGGTGTGTAATTATGGTATTTTACAGACGGGAGTAGAAAATAGTATATTATGCAACAAGTGCATTTGACTCACCAGCTTATTTGATACAAGCGGAACGAGTGTTTAATAAACGAGTAACTTCTCCCGTCTGTAAAATACCTAATTACCCACCGATCTACCGTGCGGGAAGCGTCACTTCACCACGATCAGTTTCGTTTCTCATGAATCCGAGCCATTTCAGACATTTCCGGGATTTTACTGCACCGGTTTGGGAGCAATCGGATATTTCCCACGCCTTGAATTTGACGATTGTCAATTCTGGCGGCCATGTCAGTGAATTTATTCGTGTTGTTTTGCTAAAAGGTACCCAAAGACTAACGGTCGTAGAAAAAGTATAGTGTGCAATACGTTCGGTAAACTGTTTAAGTCACTCGTTTATTAAACACTCGCCCCGCTCGTGTCAAATAAACTCGTGAGTCAAATTCCGTTTACCGCACTTGTTGCATAATATACTATTACAGAACGTGTTGCATACTATACTTTTTCTACGACCGCTAGTTTTTGGGTACATCTTCGCAAAGCAACACGAATACATTCATTGATAGGACCGTCACAATTGACAAATGTCAAAATTCAAAGCGAGGCAAATATCTCCGAAAACATCCGATTGCTCCCAAACCCATGCGGTAAAATCTCAGAAATATCCGAAGCGGCTCGGATCCGTGGGAAACGAAATTGACGTAGTAAAGTGACGCTTCCAACACGCTAGATCGATGTGTAATTAGATATTTTAGCCAGCCTAGTCCAGTTTTCAAGTTATGGGTGTTTTTACGTAATTTGCTATTAATTTATGTCCATTTGTTTTACATTTTTATAACTGTTAGTTTCTATTATTACCTATTATATATGATTGTGGTTGCTATCGGCGTTAATTGTAGTAAACAAATTCTATAACTATATTTATTTTGTGCGAAAACTAGTTTTCAAAGTCCAAGAACGTGGATGAGTTGATTGAGTTGAAACAAAAATATCTTCGAACTTTCATTGTTTTTATTTTTAGTTAATTAACCAGTTCACACTTATTAACCGACAGTGCCCCATCTGTAACATTGTGTAATTAAATAAAAATAAACACAAAGAAAGTTCGAAAATCTTTTAGTTCACCGTAATCTCCCATCAAATAATTGTGAAGGATGAGGATTCGTTATATCCTAATATACGAAATGAATGAAATGGCATCAATAAGTAAATTGCGAGATCTACGATACCCGGATCATCCGAAAAAGAACACGCCTGTGTATGTGCGTCGCTTGTTTCGTACATTATTCAAATCTTCCTTTAGCGCTTTGTTTGATAAAGGACGAAGGTCCACAAAATCCCATAAATTTAACGTCAAACCATCACGCAGATCTTTTTCAAATTATATATTTATAAGTTGCTATTAATAGAAAATTCAATCGATTTTTGTGAAAATGCACCTGTTTTATTGTAGGTAATAATAGGGGGATGTAATTTGGATTGCACCGTCCGATTGGAAGACGGCGAATTTAAGGTAAGGAAATTAATGATTTTTCATACACACCAATATTTACGACTGTCACATTTTCATAATACTGGCTTGTTAATTTAAATCTATTCGAATACATGGGGTTTGAAACGCGACATTTTCCTGAAACCCAACAAACACCCGTACAAATTTGAAAAAATACTCATAAGAAAATCGCCTATCTTGAACTCGCTACAATCTTTATAATGCATGGAACTTGCCCATAAGTAAATTGACAGCTAAAATTGATGCCAACATTGGAAAGAGGCCCCAGTTTTACTATTAGTATGACACTACAGTAAAACAAAGTATGCTGGTAAACCCCATTCTTCACATTTTAATTGTTTCAAAAAACTCTAAACCGTATTGCTCGAGTTCGCGGATTCATTTACCCTTTAATGAAAAATCGTCAGGAAGAACTTAATTTTCAGTGATATATTTTTAAGAAACATTATTTTGCAACTTTACATATTCATATGCAAAGCATATTTTTCAATATTTTTTAGATTTGAATATTGAAATTGTACTTGAAAAATTATTTTAATATTCTGGCATTTTCGTAACAAAAAAATTTTCAATTTTTAGTAATAAGGAAAATAGATGGCGCTAGTGCGCAGATCACCGTTTGAAGCCCGGACAGTCCGAATAAAGTGGAACAAAAAAGACATGTACAACTGTGTGTTATTTTCGTTCTATCACTCTCATTCTAAATCGTCATGTAAATTTTAAAGGAAAATGACCGGCTTGAAAGAATGTTTATTAGGTTGTATGACTGTTTTCGAATAGTTACATCCGGCTCGGACCAAAAATATGCGAGTTTCTTCAAATTGACTCTATAAAATCACGATGCACTGGTTCTAGAGAATGTAACTATTCGAAAACAGAAACAACTAATAAACAGCAATACTCACCTGATATAGTTTTTAAATCATTCGCACCACCTAGAGGGAAATGCATTGGTAATGTTCAAATTAGACATGGCTTTACGATGGCTGAAGTTTATTAGTAATTATTTATTTTCCAATTCGAGAGAAAGCACGTAAGGACCGGGGGTGATTTATTCCATAAAACTGAAACTTTTTTTGAGGAGAGAATTTTTCAGCATTTAATTTTTGTTGCGTGCTAATTTGTATTTTGGGAACATGCTGTTTATGCTGGATTTTTATTGACAAAATATTCGTGGACTTCTTCCTGAACAAACCCTATTGTGTTGCAATGCTTCTTTTCGCAATCTCAAATAGTGCATGCCGAATTAAAACCTGTATATTATATCCTTTCTTTCCTAAATTTATTCAAAATAAATTTAAGGCAATATAATTCTTTCAATAACAAGCAACCATGTCTATATATACAGGATAAGTTAGGAAGATGCTGTTCAAAACCATATTATCGAATTATGTCCGCTATTTACTAGCAATAACAAAAACTTGTTTATATTACATTTTTTTGGAGTATGTGTCTCAGTTCTAATAAATATATATACGTGTGTTTCTATCATGTAAATAGGAATATTCAGTGCGGGTTCTCATCATACGTTCGTTCACCTTCACACATATCACTGCACCATCACATTACACCAGAGTTTCGGGCTGACAAGCGGGCAGCAATCCTCAGCACAGCTCGTTCTTGACTCTCGCTCTGGGCTTCCTTTTGAAGATATCTTCGAGCGGCGTGGCCAGAGGGCCTTTCTTAACACGACTCCACCGGCCGCGATTAAACAGACCCTCCAGGCGATACTGAAATATCAATACAAATAGTTAAATTCAAAAGTGATGCGGATATTTTTCGTCTTTCCATCATTTATGGGTTTTAATTTTTACGTGTTTTCTGTTTTCTACTTCGGTGGTTAACTCGAAATTTCTTTTTCTGTCAACTTCTTTTGGAGAAGTAGCAAATAAAAAAAATTATATCGTTACTGTGTCATTGTAATTTAAGATTGCATACATCAAAGAATTCGGATTCTATGACTTCAGTTGTTGCAGCAGTATTAGTAAAAAGCAAAAATATGATTAATGCAACGAAAACTAACCACATACTAGCAAAAAAATGGTCTAAAATGACCAAGAAAAAAATTAATGTCATAATCCCTGCCAAGTCAAAATAAATGCTATTATCTTTGTCTTTTCAGTGAACTTCTCAAAACAATTTCTTAAAATGCATAGTCACTTTGTCATATAACGTCTGCCTTTCTCTTTATACAGTAAATCCTAGACCAGGATTATCGAGAACATGTCACTAGCAGGAGATGGCGGTTATAAAGTGATATTTCCGTAATAAGGCAGTAACTAATAGCGTCATAACGGAATTCATCTTACCGTGCAGTCCAGACTTTTCCAGACTCTAATTTGGAATATATCCACTAAACGCAACGGCAATCAATACTTAATTAGAGTACGATAGAACTCAACTGCTCCATCTGAAATATATTTTTATTCTATTTTTTTAAAATAGGTTTTTTATGCACGAATAAAAATATTCTTGGAAATAAAATATTTCAAATCAAACCAAAAAATAATAATGCAAATGCAGATGCAAATTTAATATTACATACCTAAGTAGCACTAATTTGTCAGTGTACAAAATAGTATCAGAATCATTTGCTGGTGAGTATAAATAGTATCAGGCTAGAATGGCAGTTGCGAGGATTAAAACAAGAAGAATCACGAATACCAAGCTCTCATAATAGGACATAGTTTTCAAATAATTAAACAAAGTAAAATTATCGAGTTTTCAATTTTCTACTTGGCGGTTTTTTAAACTGCTTACTACTTGGGTGGTTAACTCGATATTTTATTATAAAAGGAGTTGAAGCCCAGCTTTTTATATATTTTATACCTTTAGTCATATGTTATCATGCCCAGCATGGTACTCTCGCATCTCGTAGTTATTGTTGCCGTTGGGATTTTTCGGTTGCGTCATCGGAGTGGAAAGTAGTGCCGTACTTTCGGGTCTTACCAGCAATGACTCGCGTTCGCTTTCCGCGCTTTCTGCTCGCAAAGCGCCGGGTAGTGCCCCATTAACATTCGGCAATTCCAATTCAGCCCTAAAATCATTTGAAATGTTTATGCAGAGCTTTCCAAAAATATGTTGCCAAGGGTGGAGACGTTATAACATGGGAAATATACTCAAACTGTAGAAAAGTTTTGTAGACATTGGTCAATGTAGCCAATGCTTTTATGACAGTGAAATCGATCTAAATTGAAATGGTTGCGGTGTAATGTAGTTATGTGAGGCAAATTTTATTTACAGGGCGATTTCTTTTCATATTGTTTGATGCTAATGGCTGATAAGTGTAATAAAAAATTATTTCTCAATTTTTGAATTTTCTACCTAAGTAGTTGTATTATATTTTCACATTCCTTCAAGGTGAAAATCTTGTAGAATGTACTGACAATTTCATACTGTTGTTTTAATTAATTAATTTAATTAATAAACTTTTAAAAAAATTATATAACGACTATTTTATCATTTGTGTGATGTATATTTTTGCGTATTATTTAGAAATAACAAATAAGTCAGTTTTTTGGAATTGTTTACCTATTGATTTAGTCGCAATTTGAGGTATTCAAGAAATAAAAAATACAAATCAATATGAGTGAAAAAGTACAAACTGGTATTCTCTGACTGGGTGTCGCATGAGAATATCATCTTTTGTGTGTACTACGCATTAAATATAGTACAAAGAATTCAGAACTCGTAACGTTAAGCTTCAATACCTTAACATATATTAAATTAACTTAAGTTATTTTTTTTATCATTTTGGATTCCTGACACTACAATCATTCAAAACATTAATATAAGGGACTATTCCAATACATCATCAACAAAAAGAAGAGGTGATAAAACATCCCATGCAAGCAATTTTCCCCTCAAAAGAAGATAAACCTTAAATTTTAATGTTTGTAAATAAATTCTTAATAGAGTTGCTCTTTAGCAACTTTTTAGTTTGTATATTGGTTGCAAAATGTAACACAGGAAATTTCAATGTATTAAAAGTTTGGTTGGTTCAAACTAAAGATTATAATCAAAAGTACCTTACAGGCACAATTTTCAAGATTAGAACACCCTGTGTGTATTAGACGTTTGACGCTTTGGCGATATAGTACTGAACAAATTATGAGAAGGAAATGTAATTTTGACGTTTTTCTGTTCTAATCGACGTTCCCACTAGAAGAAAGCTTTCAAAATTCGATGGTTTTCTTCGGTAATACGTTCCAACGTACTAATTTGACCGCATGAGATTATGGATGAGTTTTCAATAAAATATGCATTCTTTCCGACCCTAATGCGAAGGATTTTCGGCGAAACAAACACTCTTATTCCATGAGACGTTCCTGCCTGCGGTATTTGCAAATTTTCGAGATATATTGTAATAGCGTTTTGCGTTCAGAAACCCTCCTGGTGTCACAAATTCTCTTTTTACTATTGCGATCTTATTATGCTCAAAATTCCTGACTAGTTACGCGCATCTTTCGAAAAAAATCGACTTAAAACAAATACAGGCTTTATGGCGAGATACATTTTTAAATAAATGCGGAAATTTCATTTCATATTTGTCCCACATAAATAACATAATAGTATTGGACACTTTCGTTTAGGTTATATTTTAATTTTTCGAGCAGTATCTCCAATGGACAATGAAACTCCCTATATGTATTACAAAAACAAGATAGAATAAAGCAATTTTGGATCCAAACGATTATCGAGAAAATTGAGGATAATAGGAATTGGGTTCATTCCAAACAATAAAGAGAATAATACTTTATCGCAGTCTGTTTTGGTAGTCTGGATTTGTGAAAGAGTTACTGTAATATCTAGTATCATTGTTCGATAAATAGACATAATGCCATTTTCATTTTTCGTATCTATTGGTATTATTAATGCAACTTCGTACTATAGTTAACAAAAAACAAACAAAACATGTTGTCGTATTAAATAAGTAATGTATTCCCATCTAAGGCGTTGGTCAATTATAATCACAAAATATTTTGTATAATTTACTTACTTGATTGGTTCCCCCAGTTTTATTTCTGAACATTACTAGTTCTTGCCACAACGTACTTTTGGTCATCTCGATTGGTATTTTAATTTCAATCGAGATATAAATAAATAAAGAAAAATAAATAAAGAACCCCCTTATATTGGACTCATAATATTTCTTTGCTGGAACGAAAATAATACAGGTTTTTCATTTGAAATTTGAATTGACATTAGTTTCTGACAATCCCAAATAAATCAAATGCAAAATGCATAATACACTTGAGGCTCATCACCATATAAATTTACAGTTATAAGGTTGTTCGGAAAGTAATTTCGTTTTTTCCCGTCAGAGGATTTAATTACGTTTTTTCGAAACCAACTTCACACTTAAGCCGCATAACCATTATATGTCTTGAGAGCTGATGTTGCAAGGCTTGTGTGTGAAAAAGTTCTATTAATTCTAAGCAGTAGTTTTTGGTTGGTGCCCTTTTAAATATGGAGAGCAATAAGCAGCATTTTCGTCATATTTTACTTTTTTACTTCAGAAAAGGTAAAAATGCTGTCCAAGCGAGAAAAAAATTGACGGATGTGTATGGAGAAGGCGTGTTAACAGTACGCCAGTGCCAGAACTGGTTTGCAAAATTTCGATCCGACAATTTTGATGTCGAAGATGCACCACGGTCTGGAAGGCCGGTCGAAGCTGACAAAGATGCGATAAAGGCATTAGTTGATGCAAATCGGCGAATAACCACACGAGAGATCGGTGAGAGATTAAATTTGTCGAATTCGACTGTTTATGGCCATTTGAAAGGCATGGGCTTAACCTCGAAGCTCGATGTGTGGGTGCCCCATGTCCTTACGGAGCGAAATTTGTGTCGTCGCGTTGACGTGTGTGATTCGCTCCTCAAACGTCAAGAAAATGATCCATTTTTGAAGCGGATTATTACTCTGGACGAAAAATGGGTTGTATACAACAATGTTAAACGCAAGAGGTCATGGAGCAGAAAAGATGAACCGGCTCAAAGCGTGTCAAAAGCCAACATTCACCAAAAAAAGGTGATGCTCTCCGTTTGGTGGGATGTCAAAGGAATCTTTTTTTTTTGAGCTTTTGCCGGACAATACAACGATTAATTCAGAAGTCTATTGTCATCAACTGGACAAACTGAATGATTCACTTAAAGAGAAGAGGTCCGAATTAATCAACAGGAAGGGCGTAGTGTTCCACCAGGATAATGCGAGACCTCACACAAGTTTGGTCACTCGCCAAAAACTTTTACAGCTTGAATGGGACGTACTGCAACATCCACCATATTCTCCAGATCTGGCGCCTTCCGACTACTATTTGTTCCGGTCCCTGCAAAATTTTTTGGATGGCAAAACCTTTACCTCAAATGAAGATGTCAAAAACCACCTGAACCAGTTTTTTGCCAGCAAGGACCAAAACTTTTATGAGAGGGGAATTATGTTACTGCCAGAAAGATGGCAAAAGGTGTTGGACCAGAATGGCCAATATATAATTTAATAAAATATTTATTCATTATACGAAAACTGTCTTTCATGTTCCCCAAAAAAAACGAAATGACTTTCCGAACAACCCAATAGATGGGATGCTCAAATTTCTGAAATTCAGTTATCGTGAGGGAATCATAGAATGCGTGTAACTTATATGCAATTTGAATATCGCACGCATTTAATCTAGTTTGATATCCGATCTATGCGGTCATCGAAATGTACCGATTAATTCTTGGGATGTGGTAGATCAAATCAACGTTCCCTATTGAGAGTTGCAGGGGGCGTGATCGCCATCTTAAATTTTTAACGGTATATTCCTTTTAGATCAAAGCGAATTTTCAATATCACAATGTTTTGCCCCCAGTTTTTTTAATTTTAATGAAAATGAAAACATCTCCTTCATTGCCCATACTGTCGGCTGAAAATTGCTGGAAAGGTTTACCGCATCTGTGGGCTTTCATGAAAATTCTAATATTAATCAATGTTTAATGTTTTAACAACGATATTCGCCTTACATTCTTTTCCTACCAAATTTATCTGGATTTTGTTATTATTTTATTAGAAGAATATTCGTTGTAAGATTGCATCAAAATGTACATTCTTGCGTAGCCTTATCGCGAGTTACTGCCATGCAAAAGGTTAAAAGTTAACATGGATATAAATATTTGACTTCATGCTTTGCAACTATTAGTCTTGGTTGATCGCCAAGCTGGGTTTGATCATTTCGGGGCAATTAATGCACGCTACATCATTCTAATCGGATTTAGGGCGTTTCTAGAAAACTTGATAAACGAAATTTACGTATATTGTTTTAATAAAAACATGACGTAGATGATATAATTTGGCACCAGACGTCGTATATGCTTTGGGCGCATTAAATCTGTAAAATATACTTATATATGCAGAGTGTCGTATGTTCCCTCAACGCTCAACTTTTTTTGACTTATTTGAGTAATCTAATAAAATAAAATAAAATTTATGAATAAAAACAAGAACAAATAGAAACACACAATTTGTGTTTTATTAAGATTATAAATGGAAAGGTCAAGTTGTTGTTAATAACAATGAGATAGGCAAAGCAAGCAAGGGTCGATTTTAGCTAAAATTTCTCAAGAAAATTTCAAGATTAGAAATTAAATTAATATAAGCAGTATCGGGGGTATGATCTGTTCATAGATATAAGAAAGTGACCAATTGCTTTTGAATGGGATTATCCAAGGGTCATTAACATACAATGCAATAAGATTATAATAGAAAATATTTTTTTAATTACCTGTGTATAATAATCTTTGGTTCGGTATACTACTTAGCTTAAGTTTATTAGTAATCATTCTTATTTCGTGTGTTGAATCGTGTGCGAATTATGCCCAAATGTAGAAAACACTATTCTATTGAGACTAAGGAAGTTATAAACAATATTACGGCATAAAATTTCCCAGTTATACGAGGAACAAAGCGTGTCTATATTAGATATCTTAATTAGGAGGCTTGAAAAGGATGAAATCGTTGTTAAATGTCGCAGAACTACCTTATGGAAGTGCATTCAACACATGAGTTTTAGATTTAAAAATGGAATGGAATCTTCGGAGACCGGAGATGGCGACTGGAATATCTAGAAAAAATTAGGATTTACAGTGTTGGGCAAATTCTGTTAAACATATAAAAAAACCAGAACAACCGTATATCCATATTGCAAATTATACAGAACAAATAATAATTAGAACAGACGATGATGGCGATAGTGATACTGATGTATTATGTGAATAATTCTAAGTAATTTAAGTAGGTAATAAAAATAATTTGTAATTTTAATTTAGAGTTAAACATAAATGCATACATAAATAAATAAATATTGTTTAGTATCTTTCCTAACAAAACTCCAAATAATTAAATTCTAAGCAAAGTACGGACCTGTTCGGCCATATTTCATTCTTACAGCTTGCCCGGGTCTTTCCTTAATTCGTATCTATGAACTGACATTACGTCAAAAATGTATAATCATATTTCTATGCTGTCAGATTGAATATGGGCATAGACTATTAATGCAAGCAAAATGGAACACACCTAGTGACGAGACGAGTTACGATGGAATAGTTTCGAATCACATAGATCTATAGAATCGCATAGTGCAACACTTTTACTGTCATCTTATTAGTTGCATCAGAGCTCCAATAAAATCAAATAAAATAATTCAAGGGACATTGTAAGTGCAACATATTTTTAAAACTCTATTCAAAATGTAAACGAAAATTTGAAAAAAACATAGGTACAACATGTGATCTATTTTAACTGAACAATGGTACAACCTGTGCATTTTTTTTTCAAATTAAATTCACCTAGCTACTCCCACCGTGTAAATTTTGATGGATATTTCATCTTACTTCTAACTTATTTCTAATTTTATTACCTTAGAATCCGTATTTTCTGAACCATTTCCCGTATCTCGTATCTTAAAATGCCCAGAAAACATATCTTCAGGAAAGCTAGTACGCAATATCCCAAAACCGCCAATAATGAGGCAGTCGACCTTAAATAAGCTAGAAGTCGTTCATCGCACCCTGTGTTATGAACCTAAAAATTTTATTGACGGCTATAAAGTTTTGTAAGAAGCTGAAATTCGTATCGATCGTGTGATAACCAAATTTTATAGAGTTGATTCCATCCAATAAACTCCAACACACCGTATTTTCGTGGAACAGAAAACATATGCCTAAGAATATTCTACTTGGATCTCACAAACTTTAATTGTGATTGTTTTTATTACAGAATATTAGTATATAAGTAATTGCCTAGCTTAATTGACAAAAACATGAAGCACGCTCCTCAACCTCATTTTTTGACATGTCAACTTTACAGAAAGGAGTAAGCTTTGAGAGATTATTGCGTCATCAAATTATAGATCACGGAGATGTGATGTAGCGACTATTTTCTGGCGTTTATAATTTCGATTTTTAAATAAATCTAAGAGATGATGCAATTCTGTAAAGTGTTGGCATGGTATAGCATTACAATATACATTGAAAGGCGCTAGCAAAAGTAACCACAGTTATATTTGCAAAAACCCGTCGCATAATACATTGGGGAATTGGGTTGGATTTGTGATGCTCTAGGACTATTTGGACGTCCACAAAGGAATAACTGCACAGCGCTGGCCTTGAGGATTTTGTAGACTAGAAACACATGCTCCGGATATCCTCAAAATCAAAACTGCACTATTTTTCTTTTATCATGATTGTTGACCGAGAAAGTTACAGTTTGTCGCAATTGTGTTCCCAATTTGTATCAGAAAACGATTTCAATAACACTGACAACGCCATTGAAAAATCAAATATGGTTTCTGGACACTTTCTTACCTCATTAACATGGTCCGACCAGTTATTTTTGGGAGCAAATTAGTACTGAGTACGAGCGTGGACCAAAAACTGAAATTTTGAGTTTTGTGTGTATTAGGACATATAATTTATAAACAGTTTAAACCGTTATTTGATAAAAAGAGCAACAGAAAATGAATTTGAAAGTCATTGATAAAATGGTAATAGTTACTCAAATAATCTTCAGAAATTGTCAAAAACTGGGAACCCTGTCTGTCTGTCACACTCACACAGTGCTTATGTGTTACAGAATTAAATGAATATCAAGAGGTAAGACTAATACGTTAATTTTCAAAACGTCAAGTTCTGGTGATGATGACATACTAAATAAAATTAAATACTGGGTACACATTTTGTGGAAATGCAGGCTGGAGGAAGCCACACCTATGTGGGATTAGGCTTCGGACGACACCAGGTAAATCACTTGCTGATCATTGCAAGATCGCCACCAATCCACCTACTAGCATATATCTACGACTATAACGGAGATAAAAAAGAAGCTAAAAAACGGCGCGAAACATAACAATAGCCAAGTGGCAGGAAGAATGGTCAACAAGCCCTAACGGAGCTTGGACTAGGGCATTAATACCCGACGTCAAGGAATGGATGCAGAAAACCTTAGGAGTCGCAGACTATTTCGTGACCCATTTCCTGTCGGGTCATGGAAGGTTCGACGAGTATGCCAAACGTATTAAGAAGACCCCAACAGCTCACTGCTTGTACTGTCAAAAGCTGGATACTGCAACACGCAATCTTCAAATGCGCGAAAGTTCTAGCTAGCTCGCACGCTGGGAACAGCACTGACTATGGAAACTTTCAGGAAACGTGGACAGACACCAGAGACTTCGATGCGATAACAACATATATTTCCAAAATCATGTCCAAGAAGGAACAGGACAGAAGAAGTAGGAGCACAGGACATTCATAGAGCAGACAATTCTCAGGCCCGATGCGATACTTACGGGTTGTTCCGGGACTGAGAGTAGGAACAGAAGAGAAGGAGTATTTTTAGTCGGTAAAAGTCCAACACCACCTGGCCAACCCCATCGGCCAAGTGAGGAATGTCACCCCTTCGAAAAAAAAAACCACCAGGTAAATTAAAAGCTCAAATATTGTACAAATATTAAAATACACAAAAGAGACAAACAAAGCAATGTACAATCCGGAGCCCAGGGGAATCCATTTACCTTGGTACATCGCAATGTATTATTAACAGGCGTCATTGTGCAACAACTAGTTGGCAATTCCCACCGACTAGTGCCAGTTTCGTTGTTGAATTCCTCGGGGCCTGTGACCCCGCAGCAAGAATCCTCAGTCTGTAAACGATCCCATAACGTCGTCATGTCGTTGTTGGAGCCGTACTCTTGCTGGAAGCGTATCCTCAGTGCCGGCCTCAATTCCTAGAATTTGTTAAAATTGTTTAATCATTAAGTAAGATTTATACGGGGTTGTTCAGATAAACTGTTCGTTAACACTTTACATACGAGGTTAGCACCAAAATTTCCCGGCCTGGCATAGATACTGCTCCAGTATCATGGTAAAACTTTGTCTTCTCTTAAATACATATCTTAGTAGGCTGCGAAAAAAAAATTGAAGTCTTGCGTCAAATAGTTTTTTATTGACAGCATTTTAAACAAGACGTGTCCGAAAAAATGTCGCAAATAATGCAAATTGAGCAGTCATAAAGTTTTTGACAAAAGAAGGGTTTGCACTTAAAATTATTAAAGAAAGGCTGGATGGTGTGTACGGCCAAAATTCTCCTTCGTATTCTGTAGTGAAAGAATGGGCAAAACGTTTTCGAATGAGGCAGGAGTACCTTAAAGATGATTCAAGAACTGGTCGACTATTGGAGGTCATAACGGAAGATATTATTGCGATTGTGGAAGAGGTGGTCGACGTTTTAAAGGTCAAGGAAATCTCAGAAATTACTAAGCTTTCTGATACAAGTGTTCGTTGAATCCTGCATGATCATTTAGGTATGCATAAGGTTAGTGCAAGATGGGTTCCTAAAAACCTTTCGGCTATTCAAAAACAACGGCGTGTCGAGTGTGCGCGGTCTTTTTTGTAACTCTGTGGGTCGGAACCGAAGCATGTGATAGGAACTATTGTGACAGGAGATGAAACTATGGTTCTCTATTATGACCCTCTATCGAAAAAAGTATCAATGGAGTTGCGTCATAAGGGTGCAGCACCTCCAAGAAAATTCAGAGTCTGCCAGTCAACAAAAAAGGTGATGGCCACGATCTTTTGGGATTGTGAAGGAATTCTTTTGATAGATTTTAAAGAAACTAATACTACTGTCAATGGTAAATGTTGCGCAACATTATTACATAAATTGTGAGACTGCATACGTGTAAAACGTCGAGGAAAGCTGACCAGAGGCGTGCGTCTTTTGCACAATAATGCACCTGTCCATACTGGTGGTGTTGCACAAGCTGCCATTTTAGAGTGTGGGTTCCAACAGATAGATCATCCTCCCTATAGTCCAGATATGGCCCCCAGTGACTATTATTTCTTTGGATATTTGAAAAAGGACTTATGCGGACGGCGGTTTAACGACGAAGTTGAGTTAAAAGATGCTCATTTTGCAGACAAACCAAAAGAATATTTTTTTAAAGGGATTGAGTTGTTAATAAAAAGATGTAATAAACGTATTGAAGTTAAGGGGGATTATATCGAAGAATAATAAAAAACTGTTACTCTACTTTGTTTCTTTCATATTCAGGCCGGGAAATTTTGGCGCTGCCCTCGTAGAATTTTTGAATTAAGCGGTTATATTTTCGATGCAGCGCGCCCCGTGTTATGTTCACTGTGCCGATATTTTTTGTATTTATTTCACTTTTTAAATGTAAAAATGGGAACAAGAGAAAAATTTAAAATATTTTTGATTACAATGTAAAATAGTTCTACAACTTTCAATGGAGAAACTCTAATTAGCTAAGACGCTGGCGAACTCTATACAAAAAGCATAATGAACCGAAAGTGATGATAATCCACCACCAAATGCGCATTTTGGGGTTTGTCCTGAATGGTGAATGAAAGCTAAATGGTCTAAAATACCTACAGCTAAATTAATAGACGATTTATTTAACTTAGATATCTTTTTCGCTGTCGCTATTATTTGTGTATTATTGTTTACGGAAAACATTTTATTCTCCGAAATAAGGGTCGGCACCATAGCACAACAACATACAATTTTATACGAAACTCAATTAAATTATAGAAACAAAAATAGAAACTGTAAGTGAGCAGAGCAATACAAGAAGAAAAGAAAAAGAAAAGATAAGTGAAATCAGGATAAAAGTTGGCATATGCTAAGCTTTGTGCAATAGCAATGTCGTACTCGAAGATTTTTCCTGGCTTGGCAGGACACGATTTTGATTTTGGACAGTGTTGAATCTCCCGGTTAACTGTATGACTTTAATTAGTGAGTTTTCCGCCATCTCTTTAAAAAGAAGATTACCAAGTTTGAAATTAAAAGAGCAAGCTGTCTGGCCACCTCTAGTAAGTAACCAACTGAAATAAACTTCATGAATATGTTTTTAATGCCTGAAGACCTGTGAGGGTAGCTGAGTTCTCGAGAGGAAAGTGAAACAATGAAAGTTGGCGTAAGCAATTCTTGCAAGTCTGCTGGTAGCAAAGTGGCAGTGTATTGGTTTGGAGAAGTACTACTCTTGATGAAAGAACTGTTACTGTCACGTTACTTTGAAAACCTTCCTTGATGTAGTTCCAAAGCTGTAATTTGTAAGTAAAAGTTGGGCATGTCGGCATGCTATCCTTTGCTTTTCTTAGCACAGTTTTCAATATTTTAACAAACTAGCGTGGATTCATGACAAAAATAAGAGGTAATTTCCATATCCTGTTTATCGTCTAAAGCCATTATTGCTTATAAGAACCACATATTTTCTCATAGCAAATCGTAGAAGTAGAAGTAAAAGTTAAAGGAACATTATGTACATCGAGTGACAAATTGTTTTCTCTGTTGAACATTTTGCTCGCTCGCAAGATGAAAATTCCGATCTTATTCATCGGGTGTGAGCTTTGATATTCCATTCGACATTTTCTGTACAGTTTCAGTTTCGAGAGTTCTGTTTTGGGGCTGGATTTTGTCAATTCGTGCCAGCCGATGTGGCATCTGCTGTATTATGTACCCAAGGGAATGTATTATCAACGGTTGCATGTGGCGGAAAATTGCCCATTCAATTATTCAATATGATGCGATTTATATAACAGGAAACCGGGTGCAATACCGATCCACATTTAGCCAAATTACTTCTCTTATTTCCGTTATGGACTTTCGAACAAATAATTATTGGATGTAAATATTTTTTATATTCCTATTTTTGCTAATGTAAAAAAATGTATATTTCATAGTGGTTAAAAAGTCACATGTACTATACTTCTTCAACGACCATTAGGGTGTGGCTACATTTTTGCAAAAAAGCAATGCATGGTGTGTGATGTGTTAGGAAACAAATTTATAAATATATATATATATATATATATATATATATATATATATATATATATATATATATATATATATATATATATATATATATATATATATATATATATATATATATATATATATATATATATATATATATATAACTACTCCTATGACGATAAATATCGAATTAGATCTAAACGGTTCAATACAAGTTTTTTTTTTATTTCGTTTTACGTATTATCATAACCATATTACTTCCTATTATAAATATTCTGTTAGCAAATGTGCTGCTACTCCAAATCGTTATCTGATAGTTATTATGGGATATACTGATCTATAATATATAATTGGAAAATACAGAATATGAAATTTGCACGACTTCAAGTGACAAATGAAATGCTAGAACGCGGATTGTCAACATGAGTGATTTCGTAGCCTTCCATATAGTGATATACGATATATTACCAATATAATGGTTATTGTTTCATATCATATTCGTAAGACGCAAAATCTCGGAATTGTTTATTATATTTTAAATTGTTTTTTTAAATGTCCATTTTTTTAATCCGCTGTAGATACTTGTCAAACTCCCGTTAATTTTGTAATACTTTAATGTAGGCAGACCCTATAAAAACTAAATAATTAATCATTGCTGTCTAAAGCACATTTTGCCAATAAACTAGCGAAACAAATTTCATTGTCCACAACTTATAATCCTACAGGTAGTCTTGTTGTTATATTGACATATGCCTTACAAATGGCGAAGTCAATGAAAGACCATTACCGAAACGTAATAATTGCTTGTAGAATTAATGAACCAAATTAGTCAAGTTAACGTAATGCCGTAAAAGTGGCAAATTACTTATCTGTTCGTTAATGAACATAACTTAAGCGGAGACGTATTGCACAAATTCGTTTTGATTAAACCTACTACATAATGTTTTTTTTTCGCTACTATCTAGTTATATAAACTAAACCCAAAACCGATTTAAACTGTATTGACAATGTAGTGATTGAAAGATGTCAATAAGTATTTCCTCTAAATATTTGTATAACGTTAAAGTTAGAATAATCAAACTACTTAAAGAACCTTTGAAAAAAGCGCATACACTTAGAAATTCAAAGAACTAATCTTTCAAAAAAATTTATTGAAAAATTTATTCACTAACTAAATGTATACGTAGAGAATACAAAAATTCTATTTCTTTTTATTTTTAGATAATATTCCCAAGAATTATATTATACATAAGATAAAATCAAATTAAATTTTCGCTCAATACGACAGAGATTTTAAATTATTAGGTTTTATAATAATAAGCTGAAGGGATATTACCGATATTAATTGCTTTAAAAACGTATATTTCTTAGGTTACAAAGGGTCTTAATGCATCATATAGGGGATGCTAATACATTAAAACTAATGCGCCTCAGACTGCTAGGTCAGTTTCACTAATTTTTACAAACTAACCTGCACTTTGGGCTTTTTTTCTTTCTAAACAGCAATCTTCAAACTTTTAACTCCTATCCTAAAAAATTAATGGAGTCAGGGCATAGGACAACTGTCTTCTTCTTCTGTGCCTTGTTTAATCTAATAGTGCCTCTTGTGAGAGAGAAGTCCAGCTATCTCGAGATCGTTGTAGGGATCTGCCTGGTGGTCGTCTTGTGCCGGCATTTTGCATTCTTGCCCATTTTTTGCTAATCTACTGGCCTCATCATGTCCAACATGATCTCTCCCATAGCGTCTTCTTGACCTAATCCATCTTACGATATTTTCTATGCCTAGCTCTGTTCTAATGGATTCGCTAACATATATTTGTTACAATTTCCACCGGATCGGTTCTTTGCGAATCACAATAGCTTGTGTCTTTTCGGTGAAGATTATCATGTTATATCTCTTTGCAGTTCCTTCAAGTTTATGTAGTAGTCGTTGCAGGCAATCTTTATTCT